AGAGCCCATGAGGTAGCTCTGCTCAGGATGGTGAGTGGTGAGCGCATACACCAGAGTCAGTGCAGACCCAGAAGTGTAGATCCTGAAGCCAGGGTGGGTGGTCCCAAAGCTTCCTCACATCCTAAATCCAAACCAGATCCAGTCCGCAGAAAATGAAAGGTCGGTGATTATGCGGCATGTGGCTGGTCTGGAGACATTTCAACATTTCTGGAAACGGCAAGGAAGCCAGAGGACCAGGAAACATGAGACAATGACCACAAATTACCCCTCTCCCTGAGTAGATGCCACTCCGCTGTAGTCCCCCCTCCCTCCCCGTTGGCATAAACTCACCAAGACTCTACTCACGTGACCTTTAGACTAGTCTCCTTGGACCACTGGAGAGCCAAGCCCCATGGTCAGCCGAGGTGAACTTCCTCCTAGACCCATGTCTTTGCTTACAGTGCTTTCTAGCCACATTTCATATGTGATTTCCTAGAAGGGTCCTAAGGCCAAGGCCTGACGCTAACCTCACAAAGGGAGGTTATACTTTGTTATACTGGTGTTTGTGAATACAGAAATGTTCTCTGCACTGGAGGTGAAGCTTGAAAGGGCCACTTATTGTTCTAAGTTTAGAATTCACATCACCAGAACCAAAATGGGTCTGCCTACATGTTTTCTCATAAAGCCAGGCTGTCTGTGTGTGTGTGAGCATGGCTGTCTGGGAACAAGCTAAATTCTTCGTGTGCACAGTAAGACGCTGCACAGAGCCCAAGTCGGCTGCCGGCGTTTTAATTTGCTGGTGGGTTTTTTTCCTCTTGCGTGAGCATGCATGCTTTTGCCGCAGGCACGGTGTAGTGGGGGAACTGCCGCCTTTTGCGAGGCATTGCCGTTTAGGTAGATGAAGTCACACAGCTAACAAGAGAGGGCTGAGACAAGCTCAGGTGCAGCCGCAACGCCCTCCTCCTGCCCCTCCTCCTCCCCCTCCTCAGCACCTGACAAGTGCTCTCTGCTTCTGGGAGGTTCATTGTTTATCTGTTTTCTGCACTTGGCCTATGTTGCGCGTATGTGTACTCGTGTGTGCGGGTCAGAGGTCGAGGGGGTAGAGGGAGCGTGGACGCTGCCTCTTCTCTCCTGAGAGCCTTGTTCTCTCTCTCAGGACACAGCAGCCAGCATAGCACAACTGGACACTCAGCCCCGCCCTTTACCTTGCCCATCTCAGCATCCAGTTTTTTGAGCAACTGAGTAGAGTAGAATTATTTCCTGAGGTTTGTCCAGTTCTGCTTTTAAATTATTGTTTATATAACTGAGACCTGTTGTAATAAATGCAGCTCTCAGTTGACAGATGCCAGTGGAGAGAAAAAGAAATTTACTTCCGAGTCTCCAGCCTCAGTCCAGAACTCAGCAGCAGAATCATCTCTGTTCTGCCAAGTAAATGTTGGTGAGGCCTGATGAGATGGCTCCGCAAGAAAAGGTGCTTGCTACAGAGCTGGGAGACACGAGTTCAAACCCCAGGGCCCACATGGTAGAAAGAACTGACATCCACAGGTCGTCCGCCGCCCTCCACACACAGTGCACACGTGCGTACTCATTCATATGCATGTGCACAAAGAGACTAAATAAATACCATGTGTTAATGATGAAACAAGTAAGAAAAACAGAAAAGAAAAAGGGAATTAAGGGCACTGCTGAATAAACTAAAAGAATTTGTTTTAGAGATTTATTTTAGTTTTAGTTATGTGTATATATGTGTGTGCAGTGACTACAGAGCTCAGAAGAAGGTGTTGGAGCCTGGAGCTGCAGCTACTGCTGGTTATGAGCTGCCAACATGGGCACTGGAAACCAAACTTAATTCTTTACAAAGGATTACACACCCTTTGACTACGGAGCCATTTCTCCGGCCCCTAACAAACTTTTTTTTTTTTTTTTTAAAGACTAATGATGGTTCTGAGAGCTAACATTAATTGAATGCTTAACTTTATTAGACTCTATTCTAAATACTTAGAATTAACCATTTCATTCTCACAACAAACTTGCACGGTGTGGCTATTTCTAACGTCTTTGTTTGTTTCTTTGTTTTGTTTGTTTTATGAGACCGGGTTTTTCTGTACATTTTGACCTTTTGGAGGCTGAGGCTGTCCTGGAACTCACTCTGTAGACCAGGCTGGCCTCGAACTCACAGAGATCTGTCTATCTCTCCCCGAATGCTGGGATCAAAGGTGTGCGTCACCACCGCCCAGCTCTAATGTCCTTATTTTATAGACATGGAAAACCAAGGCTTAGATATAACTTCCCCAGGCCCTGTGCAGTTTCTGGTTGAGCCATCACAGACACCTATGTATGCAGGCTTCGGAGCCCATGCTCTCTGTCATCAATTGGTAGGCTTAGCTGCCACTCAGATCTGTGGAAGTTACTGCGGGATAAAGATCTGTAGCAGATCAAGTCGGGACACTTAGGGTTCAGAATGGCCTCCTGAAAGAGAGATAATGACCAGGCTTGGGGAGCAGAGACCGCGAGCTCCAGTTAGCCATGTCAAAGGGAAGGACCTATGACATCCAGAGATGTCCATCCCATGGGTTGGGTAAACCAACTGAAACGTGGGAGAGAGGTCTGGACCAAAGACTCCTGAGTCACACTCTGTCCTAAGGAGATGTGTCTATTTCCTACCTAGCAGCCCCGAACTTTCCGTACTTATACAAAGGAAACTCTGCAAAACTGCTTCTCCCTACTCTGAGAAGGGAGGGGAGGAAACCTGTCCAAGTCCACCAGCCTCCAGTCCACTCAAACTAACTTCTCCTGACTCTCTAGACAGGGAGTGATCCAGTAGTGGACACCTAAGTGCCTTACTGGTTGCAAGTTCCAGGTTCATTGATGGACTGGCTTTGTAAGAGGTCATTTGTTAGTGGTGAGGAGGAGTTGTATGAGCCAAAGATGAACACAGACGTTGGAAGGTGCTTCCTCTCAGGGGGCTCACTGTTTCTGAGACTCGAGCAAATCGTAGACTTGCAGGGAAGCATGCCGTCAGCCTAGAGACCAGTGTGCTGTTGGGCCGGGTTTTAACCCCTGCTCATGGTTAAGTAATCTGAATGTACCATAAAAATGTAAACCCCCAAAGTAGCAATGAGACAGTCGGAGCAATACAAGTTTATAACAATGCCTCCCTTTTCACTTGGCAAGCTCCCTGCTCCCTAATCAAACCTCAGTTGTTTCAAGATTTGCCTTCAGCGAACACTTGGGAAATGACACGTTTGGAAACAGGCCTGCTTGGGTCCCACTCCTGGCCCCAGCCAGTAAGTACCAGCTGCTCCCTCTCAGCAAAGAGGGAGCAGTGACCCCTGCATCCTCTGGAAACCATGTGCAGTCCAGGAGGTGAGGTTCAGAAGGCGGGAGGCAGTCACCTTGACAGCAGCCGTATCTTTGCCCACCACTCACAAGAGTGGGAGGCCGCCGCCTGTGGGCCCAGGGGTCTGACCCAGCCTTCGAGTCCTGAAATGAGACCACTGGAGTTCTGTGATGCACACTCAAAGATTCACGAAGACAGAAACATCCAGCTTCCCTGGGATTTATCATTCTAAAAATCCATCCTTTTTGTGCGTGCGTGCGTGCGTGCGTGTGTGTGTGTGTGTGTGTGTGTGTGTGTGTGTGTGTGCACGTGCGTGCGTGTATATGTGTGTTCCTGCATGCATGAGTGTGTGTGTGTGTGTGCGTATGTGTGTGCATGCGTACGTTCGTGCGTGTGCTTGTGTGAATGTGAGGCTGTGTGTGTGTGTGCATGTGAAGGTCAGAAGAGGGCATCAAGCTTCCTCCATCAGTCCATGTTTGCTCCCTTGAGGCATGGTCTCTCTCTGAACATCAGGCTTGAGTTTTCTCAGTGAGGTGGGAGACAGTGGACCCCACAGATCCTCTTGACTCCCCCTCAGAGCTGGGATTACAGGTGTATGTGGAACACCAGACTTGTTTCGCAAGTGTTAGGATCCAAACTCTGGTCCTCATTATTGTATATCGAATGCTCTTAACCACAGAGCTGTTTGCCCAGCCCCTGAGGGTTATTCATGGGGGCTGCAGACCACCCACATCCTAACAGAATCTCCTGGATGTGTTTCGGTTTTGTTGTTACCAGGAAACTATTCCTAAAAGTTGCGATCACTTGGGATGAAAGGCGCTGAACAAATCACTAAGTTCACACAGTGAATAATAGGGCCAGGTGGCTGGTGAGGAGAGGTGTTCTCCCGCTTGCTCTCCATTTCCCTGTGGCTACAGCCCAGAGCACTGCAGACCCACCCAGCCATGGCATGTGGTAGGACTGCCCCAGCCACATTCCCAGGCAAAAGCGGCCTGCCCATCCAAGTTGTCAGTCTTCTGCCCTGAGGTGTTTTTTTCCATCTGTGCCAGATTTTACCTTTCATTTCTGACTTGTGGCAGCTTGTTCTGAGCCCTGGGTAAATAGAAAGACCCATTCCTTCCCCAGGCATCCAAGACAGGCCAGAACACAGTATTGCATCCTGGGAACGTTCCTGTCTGTGTTCTCCCCATCACATCCCCTGCTGTCTCTGTAATGTTCTTGGGGGGCCCAGGTCCCCCCCATCAACTTTTGATAAGCACCTGACTTTAAAAGGGGGTTCCCTTGTGCACCTTAACCCCTAAAGCTGGCCATCCCCGTAATGTACAGGAAGTGTCCAAGAACTGGTTTTCTGATTGGCTCTTGCTTGCTGCCCAGAGAGAAGCCGCTTCTGAGAGAGGATCAGGTCTGGTTTATTCATGAGAAGTCACCGATTTTGGAGTAGTGCTTATGAGATGGTAGAAACGCTACAGCTCCTCAGGCTGCAGAACACAGGTGTCAATGACCCTGAGGATTGGGCAGTTAAGGAGACAGCCGCCCCACTAAGCTGAAGTCAAAGGGATTTGTGCTGCCTGTGGGACTGGGCTACAGGGCCCCTGGAGTCGGGGTCCCAGGAGGCAGCCGCACACTCCAGCGCCCGCACCCACGTGCCCCGGTCGGTCACCCACAGCTGTCTCTCTTTCAGCTTCCCAGCGCAGCGTCAGCCTGAAGAAGCAGAGGGGCCGCAGCATCCTCAGCACCTTCTTCTGCTGCTTCCGAGACTACAATGTGGAGGCGCCTCCGCCCAGCAGCCCCGGTGTGCTTCCGCCACTGGTGGAGGAGAACGGTGGGCTTCAGAAGGTCAGTCAGTACATCTGGAAAACTGAGGCAGCATGTACACCCCACCCGTGGCAGATTCCCTAGCAAGAGCGTGTGAAACGTGTATGCAGCCATTTAAGACTTGGGTTCAGTCCCATCTAGCAACAGAAGAGCACGTATGATGGAAATTTAAGGCCAGCTGGTAAAAGAGCTTGGTGCCTGATGACCTGAGCTCAAGCCCCAGAACCCACATGGTAGAAGGAGAGAATTGACTCCCACGAGGAATCCCTGACCCTTTCACGCATGCGTGCACGCGCACGCACGCGCACACATACACACACACACACATACACACATATACACACATGCACACACCCATAAGGCACACAGAATAGATAAATACAATTCTTAAAAAGGAACCAGTAGCAGATAGAGAAACAGGCAAAATAAGATAGAGTCTGAGCAGACCTTGCAGTGAGTATAACTGAGTTAATACCTCGTTTAATAACAATATGTGTTTAACAACAGCAAAGTGGAAGGGCTCTGAGTAGTGTTTGCTGGTGTGTGTGTGTGTGTGTGTGTGTGTGTTAGATTGTCGGAATAGGTCAGAACCCAAAACCACCCACAGACTGTCTGACTGACATCTCTGCAACTAAATAACTCAGAACAGTTAAGAATATAAGGATAGACAAGGGGATGCCATCCAGGAACGAGCAAAGAAACCAGATTACATTAATTTCTGTCAACACTGGATTCCAGGTTAAGAAAAAAACATTGAAAAATACGAAATAGATTGTTCATAAGGAACATGGTGAAAGATTACAGACACCAAAGTCATAAAACTTCATGTTCCAAATAACATGAACACAGAACAAGAAACAGAGATGGGGGCTGGAGAGATGGCTCAGTGGTTAAGAGCACTGGCTGCTCTTCCAGAGGTCATGGGTTCAATTCCCAGCACCCACAACTGTCTGTAACGACAAGTCTAACACCGTCACACAGACAAACATGCCTGCAATATATTAATGCAAATAAAATAAAAACAAATTATTTTAGAAAGAAAGGGAGGGAGGGAGGGAGGGAGGGAGCTGTAGGGCAGGTGAGATGGCTCACTGCCTCGGCTGTTAAGAGCACTTGCTCCCCTTCCAGACTGGAGTTTGGTTCCCAGCACCCAAACCACAAAGCTCACAACAGCGTGTGACTCTAGCCCAGAGGATGCAGTGCCATCTTCTGGCTGCCGTGGGTATGTGTGCACACACTAAATATTTAAATAAAAAGAATACAACTGATCAAATGTGGGATTGAGCAAAACATCTGATTTTGATACGCGGCTCAAAATGGAAAAAACTGGAACAACCCTTCTCCTGTCTGCGAGGGTTTGTTGTGGGAGTGGAGGTTGCAGTACAGCCTTAAGTGGCATAGAGGGCGTGCTAATTGGTTTACATTTCCAAGAGGACACTTGGCAATGTGGAATGCAATCTTAGAGTATGCCTGTTGATGATGAAAGCGATTTTATTTCATAGCAAAAAAAAAAAAAAAAAAAAAAAAGTCGTTAGGAATGTACAAAGATTGATATACAAGATGTGTTATCCAGCATAGCTTATAATGACCCAGAAAGGTACCTGATGCAATGCAAACCTCTGACCTATACACTTACACACACAACCCTCCTTTGAGACAATGGAGGCACATTTTTCAGACACATAATGATTCCAAGAAGGGGTTAAAATAGGTAGTTGGTGTTATAAGTAGGTTGTCCCTGCCGGCCCACCTGGTCCCAGAGCCGCGCCCGCCACAAATAACACACAGAGACACTGTATTACATATAATTCTGTTGGCCTGTTACTAGTATTTCTTATTGGCTAGCTCTGTCTCAAATATTAACCCATTTCTATCAATCTAAGTATTTCCACGTTGTCTTATCTTACCAGAGAGAGGCCCAGCGTTCTTCTCTCGCCGTCCTCCATCTTGATTCCTCCCTACTACTTCCTCTCTCCTCCTTGTCTCCTAGTCCTGCCTAGCTTGCTTTCCTATTGGCCAACAGTGCTTTATTCATTAACCAATACAAGAAACATATTTACAAAATGACGTCTGCCATCAAGTTGGTTAAATGAGCTACATCATAGCCATACAATCAGTCGCTGTCTTGGTTAAAAATGACATGTCCACAGGGATGGCATGTCACAATTGTTAACATAAAGAAATATTCACAATAGAGCTGGGAAGATGGCTCAGTAAGTACAGGTGGATACAGCACTTGTGTGCAAACCCAACAGCCTGGCTTCAGATCTCCAGAACCCACTTAAAAGCATTAGTGCAATATCTTCAGGGAGTCACCAGAAGCTCATGAGCCAGCCAGCTTGCCATACCCCGAAATAGCAACGGGCCAGGTGGCCTGCCATATACCCCTTCAAACAGCAATGGGCCTAAGACAGACCTAAGATGTCAACCAGCAGCAGAGGCCCATGGGGAAGGACTTGACTGCCCACTGTAGTGTGGGTACCCTGGGGAGCTCTGCTGATGAACCTGGTGGTTTTATTCCTGTGCCCTGGTATCTAGTGGTGTGGGACTTCCCTCACCTCTGCTGGTCCATGCAAACAGGTCTCCTGTGGGTTTTCCAGTACTCCAGCATCCTCCAAAGACCCTGTTGGGCCTAACAGCCAGCCATAGTCAGAGCACACAACACAGCCTGGCACGTGCAAAGAAAAACGTAGCCTCAGCTGAGAGGTCCATGTTGAAAAGTCAGTACCTGAGACTCCTTCTAGGGGAGACAGTGTCAACCATAGCAGCCAGCCTCCACGGACATGTCAGGACAGCCCCTGGGACAGAAGAGACCTGTGGGGTCCCAGCATCGCACAGCACTCAACATAAAACCTCAGAATTCAAGGGAGAAAAGGAGACAGCAGCCATTTCTGAGAACTGAGTGTGAATTCTGGAAACGATTCAAACCAGAAACCCAAAGATGGAACTCGTGAGGGAGGAACAGAGCCATCTAGACCCATCCGCAGACGGAAAGAGAAAGGAGGGGCAGGTTCTTTCTGTTCTTGAGCTGAAAAAGACAGACTGCCCTTGAAAAGCTCCCTGCTTCTCCCATAGGACCGGGTCCCCGCAGATGAAACTCTGAGTTAAAGTAACACATCTTTTCCTTTGTTTGTTGTTGTTGTTGTTTCTGGAAATAGGGGTTTTCTGTGTGGCCCTGATGTCCTGGAACTCACTCTGTAGACCAGGCTGTCCTCGAACTCACAGAGATCCACCTGCCTCTGCCTCCACAGTGCTGGGATTAAAGGCGTGCGCCCACAGCGCAGCTGAAATAACACATCTTACAAGCTACCAGAACACATTATTCCAGAGAAAGCAATTATATTAGTCTCAGACTTCTCGTCAGCAACAATAAAAAACACAAGGCTATGACACATGTGTGCAGGCTATTGGGGGGCGGAAAAGATCTTGAAACAAAAATTGTGTCTTGTCAGAAAGCCTGCTCTGGCCTGGGAGATGCCTTTAAGCATGAATGTCTGGGTTCAGACCCTGGTTTCTCCATGGCTGCTGAGGATAAACAGAAACATAGCTGAGACAGGCAGGCCACGCACAAACCGAGCTGAGTGAACCAGATTCTGCTCACAGGGGACCAACGTGACACCACATGATGTGGCAACCTCAGCAGCGCACCATTACCAAAACCATGCCTGCCATCAAACGGCAAAGAAAACTAGCAACCGATAGGTTACCCGTTTCCTTTTCTCACATGCAGACTGAGTCTGACACGTGCTAAGTTGGTTTAGATCCGGTGATGACATAAGAAACCCAGACTACATATTCTTCCATTCGGACATGTTTCTGCTCAGCTATCCCTGGTCTCTGCGCCTCCCTTCGCATCCTGAGATTTGCATCCAGGGGAGGTAGAGGGTGACGGGTGACACTAGCCGTGTTTAACCCTGGTACATCATTGCTTTCATAGAAAACCCAGAACTTTATCGTAGGGCTACCCAGTTGCAGCAAGGATGACGTGCAGAGAAATTCAGCTGGACGTATTTCTGCTCTCCGCCAGAATGAGGAGTGACCCATGAATAGATGGGCTGGGCCAATCCGCATGAGTTTAGTTCTACCTCAGTAACAACCTTAAAGCCTAAGAGGCTTTAAACAGTACAAGTTGGGCCAGAAAGATGGCTCGTTGCATAAAGATGCTTGCCGTTGAAGTTGGTGACCTAAATTCTGTCCCCGACACTGACAGAGAAACTGACTGCTGCAGGCTGTCCTCTGACCTGCACACACATAAAGCAATGGCATATGTTCACCCCAAGCATGCACACAGGGGCTAGGGAAAGGGATCAGTGGCTTAGAGCTCATGCTGAGGACCTGGGCTCAGTTCCCAGCACCCATGTGTTGGCTCCCAACGGTCTGTAACTCCATCCAGTTTAAGGAGGTCCAGTGCCCTCTACAGATATACACACATGTGGCACACACACACACATAGAATAACACACACACACATATATAAATACACACACAGAATAACTCATACATATACAATAAATAAATATTTTAACTTTAAGCTTAATTTTAAAAATAGTCTGGAGAGTTACCAAGTAGTTTTTATTTCATCCTTCATTCATTATTTGTCATAGATTGGCTACGTCTTCTGTGGAAATACAGTGAGTCATAAAGCTAATTTAAATCATTCTAGTCACATCTGAATAAATATTTTTAAAACAAATGAAATTAATTTTTAATAATATTTTACTTAACCCAATATAGCCAAGGTTCGAACATGGGACCAGTAGAATACTGCCGAGATAATTTATTTTTTAATCTTACCAGTTCAAGAACAAATGTATGCATTTTATATTAGCTCACGTCTTAGTTTGGGCTAGCCACATCTCACAGGCTCAGTGGCCACCTGTGGGCCATTGTGTGGGACAGCTCAACTCGTTTCATTCCTGGACCTGTGGTGATGATGGCCCAGCATCTTGGTTCCCTTGACTGTCACAATCCCTGCAGGTTTTGACCCAGAAGCAAATGCATTTTAACCTTAGAGGCCGCAGCAAGACATGCGGCTATACCTGCACGTGGCCGCATCTACCTAACTTCAAAGGCACTGGAGCACGACCTCACCATATACCCACCCAGAAGAGAAGCTGGGGTGACGGGGTAAAGACTGGCTAATGCCCGTTACAGTGAGTACCGCACTATTTCCATAGTAACCTCAACCACGGCACGATGGAGGAAAGCAGGAATACAGAGGTGGAGCAGTATGTAAGGACGGGCTGAACCGAAAGAAAGAAGTCTTACTGCTGAGGCAATATTAGCAGCAGATCAAGCAGAGATGAGTCAGATATGTTAGGGCTGGAGAGAGTCCTCAGTGGTTAAGAGCACTTGCTGCTCTTGCAGAGGACCTGGGTTCGGTTCCCAGCGTCCAACCGTCTGTAAGTACCCCTCTGGAGGATCTGATGCACACATTGGGCCTCCATGGGCACCCACACACCTGATATACATGCACACAGATGACAAATAAGTTTTAAAAGCATTAAGCACAGTAAAGACATTTACAGTGGTAAAAGGTCTAATATTAAATGAGGTATTTAATAGACCAGCCATCCTTCCATATAACCAAAAATATGACCAACTACAAGAAGAAAGCTATGATAAAATCCTGATATAACTATCCTGTCTTCTGAAAATGAACAGCAAACAACACAGGCGAATCATTGGTAGGTCCTGGCTGGTGGGATAAAACAGGAACATGAAACAGTTGTTATAAATATGGAAAAGTTATAAAATTAGCCTTGCTTGTAGATGACATCACTGTTTATATAGATGCCCGAGAGAGATAAAAACGGATCCGAATGGCTGAAAGCTAGCCCTGTGTGTTTCTGGGTGGGCTTTAGATTCATGTGGAAGGAAAAAGTATCAAAGAATCTGAGAGAAAGCTTGGGGAAGAGCACTCTGAAAGGCAGCTTGCCCTAGCAGACGCCACTCCTCGGCATGTACAACCACCAGTAACATATAAAATCAGAGTCTACCGTGGTTCATATCCTGACCCCAATTCCAAGCAGCTGTCTCCGTGTACTTCCCTCCCTCCCTGCTTAAAGACTATTACCATGAGTGGGGACCAGAGAGGTGGCTCGGCTTTTGCTCCCAAACCTGACAACCTGAGTTCCATCCCTGGGACCCACATGCTGGAAGGAGAGAGCCAAACCATGCAAGTTGTCCTCCTCCAAGCTCCACACGTCTGGGCGGCACACGCCCACAAGCACATACAAAATAAATAGATATGTTTTAAATAAGAGACTTGAGACAGTGTGGCTGTGGAGGAGCGCTCTAAGAGAAGGGAACTGGGGTCCTCAGTTGTCTGTTGAGATAAACACCTTTCAAAAGCATTCCTTTGGGAGCAGTAGTCTCGCTTAGAATTCCTGCTCATTCATGGGCTGCCTCTATTCACATTAGCCAAAATGTCTTTTAAATAATTCAGGTGGGCTGGAGAGATGCTTCAGCTGTTAAAGGCCAAGCTCACAGCCAAAAGAATTCAGGGTTCGGGGATGGGGGCTGTAGAGAGAGCTCAGAAGTTTGACTGCTCCTCCAGAGGACTAGAATTGGGTTCCCGGCACCCATGTGGCAGCTCACAACCCCCTATAACTCTAGTCACAAGATCTGACACCCCTTCTGGCCCCCACATGCACCAGACATGCATATGGTGCACAGACATACAAGCAAACAAAACACCCATACACATAAAATAAAAAACCTTTTAAACTTAGTTAAGTCTACAGTGAGGCACTGTCTTCATAACAAGTGTGTGGTCTGTGGGACCGTGTAGGTGAGGAAGCTGACTCCCAAGGGACACCCTTGCCTCTTGCACCGAATTCCACCAGCACCCACAGAACACAGGCCAAGCCCAGATGTGGAAGCCGACACCAGACCTGACTTTACTGAAGCCTGCACGGCTCCCTAGCTCAGCACAGTGCAGAAGATGGAAGTCTGTGGACCGAACAAGTCTGGCAACTACTGTGGCGCCTTCCGCCCTGGAAAGAGGAAGAGGTTCAAAACTACCTTTTGCAGCCATTCTGCAGCAGTGGTTTAAACTGACAGCCACTGGGGTCATCTCAGCTACAACAGAGACCTGCAGGCCAGCAGCATCCAGAGACAAACAGGGTCAGTGCCCAGTAAGACTCCAGTGGCAGTTACCATGGAGGACCCCAGGTGTACAGAGAGCATGAAAGGGATTTCCAGAAACACAAATAACACGCATACTCCCACACCCAATACCACGCACACACCATATACACATAAATTCACATACCCCATACATGTGCCTACCCTCCCTACACACACACACACACTTCTCATAGTACACACATGTTCGTGCGCACACATACACCTCACACACACATGTCTGTGTGCACACTCACATGTGCAGTCCTCATTCCCACATACGTGTGGCGCGCCACTTCTGTGTGTCTGTGGCCCATGTTCTGTCAGCCCTGGGCTACGCTCCTGATACCTCTCCAAACATACGCTCACCTCACGACAGGTGTTTCCAGGCCTGACTGAGTGGGACTCTGTGGTCTCTGGATGGAGCAGGGCTTCCTACATGGAGGACTTGCAGTGTCTAGAGACCTGTCCCTGCTCTGGGAGACACCCTGGCCAGGCAGGCCAGAGGTGCTGTTGTGAAGTTAGAGGACATTCTCCCCCAGTCATCTGTCTGTCTCAATGTCCCTACTCTGAAGGGGCTGGCACTTAGAGGTTTCGGGTTAAAATCTCCCCCTCTGATAGCAGCCATCTGCTCCTGAGTCCACACACTGGGAATGGGATTAGTTAGATGTTTCTGGAATGAAGTTCCCTGCACAAGTTGTTGGACACGAGGATTTGATTAGGGTGTGCTATCGTGTGGAAGAAAGCCCCTGACAGAGGCTGCTTAGACTTGTAGCGAGGAGGGACCCCACGGAAGGAGCCATCATCTTCAGAGAAAAGAGGAATTGCAGTTACCCCATAGAGGTGATATCTAGAGGCCAGAGAGAATCAGGAAATCACCATGCTGGTATCAGCAGAGCTACCGGGAGGTGCCAGTCGCCTGCCTCTTGGCCATCAGGTTTGGCCTTCACTGGAGACCATGACACTGGTGAGCACCTCGGTAACCATGGACACATCTTTTCACAAATCCTCCAATCGGAGACATGACACGGTACATCTCCCTATCCCACCATATGGAAGAAGAAGAAGAAGGAGAAGGAGAAGGAGAAGGAGAAAACAGAAAATCAATAAAACAATGTTTTTCTTGTATTAACATTTACTGATGCTATAGCGAACTATTTCTGCCCATTTTCAGTGGCTGGTATTCTGGGATGAGGCTGAATATTCTCAACGCCCTCAGGGAATACCGTGTTGTTTCCCTTAAAGGGGAAAGCTACGTGGGCAGCCTGTGAGGGGACTTCTGGTACCTTGTGCCCTGTCCCCTCTGTGTGGTTCTCCTCTCTGCCCTACAGAGGACCTGGAGTGGTCAGACATCCCTTGTAATCTGATAACCCTGCCTGCGTGTTATACTTATGTTATACTAATAACAAGCCAGTTATTAGAGGGGTGGAGATCAAAATATGAGTGTTCGGTTTTGTTTTTAAGTTAGAGTCTACTCCTGGGATCAGGGCACACACTTTAAATAAGCAGAGGCTGTGAGGGTGAGGAGCCCTGCCGCCAAGTCCGGGAGGGGTCCGGAGGGATCACGGGCCCATTTCCTCCAGAAGGTTCCCCAGCTCACTGACTGCCACGAGGCTGCTGGAGTGGGAAGGCCATCGCTGTGCCTGTGCCCTAGGGAGCGTACAACTTTCTTTCGAGAATATGTCTCTGTGTCTTCCATGCTGACAGTGATTTTCTTTTCTTTTTCCTCAGGGTGACCAGAGGCAGGTCATTCCCGTACCGAGCGTATGTATCTTTATCCAGTTCTATTAAACATGTGTGAAACCCTTCAGTGCCCTCAGACCTGCTGGGGGTGGGGGAGGGTTCCAGTGTTCTTGCTTCTGTTGAGTTTTATCGTGTGGTATAAACAACCATAGTCTGCTTTAAAAAAAAAAAAAAAAAAAAAAAAAAAAAAGCAAAGGAACAAAGTTAGCTGGAGCTGTGACCGGGACAGCCGTCTGAGGAAGAAAACAGACGACTCTGCTCACCCGCTTCTCTCCTCTTCTCTCCCTGCAACCCTCACTTCCTTTCTCCCGAGGAGAAGCTCCAGTTTCAGTAAGCTGGGGTGGCCTGCAGCCCACCCCACCCACGCCACTGCACCCGCCCAGGTCTTCTGACTGGGACGGCGATGACCTTGCCAGACTTGACTCTCACAGCAGACCCGGCCTCCCTGAGCCTGCTCGCTGCTCGGGGACTGCTTGGCTGCAGCTCTGGGTCCAGAGGAAACTTCCGGCAGACTCCTTGAACTCACAGGCCCCTGCCCACCCCTCCGGCCCCTCAGGCCAACTGCTCTGCAACTCTGCCACCTCACTCGCTTTCCCTTTAAAACCCTGGGCTGAGCTGTCACCCTGTCCCCAGGCCCCCACTGCCGTCCCTCCGTCAGTCCGGTATGACCCCGTGCTCAGCCAGCAGCACTGTCCATCCTCAGGCTGTACGGCAAACAACTCCCGAGGAAGTAACTCTACAGCGAGTTTCTAAAGCAGCCTTTGAATTGGTCTGTTAGGATTATCTGATTCCGAGTATGGGATCCAATCTGTTTGTGTACTTCGACACGTTTCGGGGCTGCCCTGTATTGAATGGAGTGGGTCTTATGAGTTTGGGTTGCCCAAGAAGGCTCTTAGTGCCACGTGCCATTTGCAAGTGGCCCACAAAGATCAATCATTTTATTTTTCTCAAGACTGTCAGTTCTCTGCTGGCCATGCCTAGGCGCTGAGCTTCTTTGGGGCGAAGACGGATTAGGCAATGTGGCACCTGAGTGAGGGTCTCCGGGTGACACCCAGCAGGGTGGCAGCATCTATTGTCCCCGCCCGTTCAATGTCACGCTAAGGTAATTTGTGGCCCCTGTAAAGCTAGGTGCCAAATGAAAGCAACTCTGTGCCATGCAAACCCTGCTGAGGAAACTGGCCCTTTCCCACAAACTGGGCTCAGCCATGCTCAGATTCCCAGCATATTGAAAACGGGGACAAGAAGGCTCCTTGTGTAATTTATCTCAGCATCTGATCGATAAACTACAGGCTCCGCCCTATACCTACAGCAGCCGGTGGGCCAGGCATGTGACTCTTGGGACTGGGTCGGGCGTGTGACTCTTGGGACTGGTTTCCAAAAAGGCAACACCCAGCTAAAGTAACTTGTGCTTTTGCCCCCCCCCTCCATACTGGTAACTAGTTCCTGTGCATATTAAACGAGAACTCTACCACTGAGCTACATCCCCAGCCCCAATTTGCATCTTTAAATGATGACACAAAGGCAGTGTGCCACCTCCTCTGCCTGCTCAGTGTTCAGGACCGGGAGAAAGCAAGGTCGTCCTGAATTTAATTAAGTCTTGACATCCCTGGTAAAATCCGCACTGACTTCCCAAGGTCCCCGGGGCCACTTCCTGTCCTTTCTGGAGCAGAGGGGTTTCTGGGTAATACTGAGAATGACGGAAACTAGAGGTGCTGTAGTACCCAGTCAGTTCTACACCCCAGACCGGGTCCCCTGGCCTCCTGGAGGCTTTCTCCAGGAAAGAAGGGTCGTGTGTGTGATGCATGCGTGCCCAGGGCACCTTAGCACAGAGTCCCCCATTTCTTCTAAGGCCTCACCCCTGCTTCTCTCCTAAACACATTTTGCTATTTGCAAGTGCAAAAGTTTAGACTCTGAACTTTTTATTCAGCAAAAATCCAAGCCAGTAGTTACATGCTGAAAAATTAACATCCCAGCCATTCCCACCATCTGCCGTAGCCATCACTGATGTTTGCCCTGCACTTCTCAGAAAGCTTCCAGGCAGACGTGCTTATACACACGCCATTGTGCTGCTCCCGCAGGTCTGCAAGCGGTCGCGTCCGTCCAGGCCATCGCTTTGCCTGTCACGGCTGCATTCACGTGGCCGCCATTTGTGCGCATCCATAAGCATTTGCTACAGCAGTATCTGTGTGTACATGGACCTCTACGATTGGGTCCTAGCTGAAGACATGAGGACCACATTGTTAGTTACCGAAGCCAAACTGCCCTCCAAAAACTATGAGATGACCCCATTCCCCTTCTGAAAATGGCTCTCAAGGGTTTTCGACCTTTGCCAGTCCAAAAGCGAAGGAAGAATGCTATTGATTTGTTGCTTTGCTTGCATCTGTTGACTGGTGAATATGAACAGTGTCTCATTGGCCACACACCTTGCCTCATTCCTACCCACCTAGGTTTTATCTTGTCTTTCTTAAATGTTCAGGAAGTGATGCTCGGGTTAAGACAGCGGGCCCAGTGGTAAAGTTGCTTGCTGCTAAGGCTGATAACCCGAGTCAGATTCCCTGAGACCACATGGCAGGAGACAACCAAACCCCAAACAGTTGTCCTATGACCCTCGTATGTTCACATACATGCACATACAAATCATGCACTTAAATACATCTATAATGTATCTTTTGACTTCCTTTATGATCACTTTGGCCACAAAGCAATTTTAATCTTCTGTAGGTAAATGTATTCATCTGCTGTTTTATGACCCAACCCACATCCCATGTTCTCCTGTGAGATTTTGATATTCTTCATCCACTTAGAAAGTGTGGCATAGTACTCCAGTGGCCACCTGGCTGCCCTGAACATTTACCGGGTCGTCATGTGTGACACACCACCAAGATGACATCGTAAACATGGGCTTTTGAAAGTTTCAGTTAGTAGCTTTCATATCCCACCCATGGGCTGGGAGTCAGGTCGTCCTCACTGGGAAGCTGCATGGGCTTTTCAGTTACAGTCTGGTGTTGGAGGGTAAGGTAAGGGAGAGATGTGGGGGATGGAAAGTGTCCATGGCTTCAGACAAGCTTTTGAAAACAGCGGCATCTCAGTGAAAGATGCCGCAGGGTCTGTGACCCTAGTCCTGTCGTCCCATACCCTTGCTGAAGTTACATGTCTCACTAGTGTGCATACACAGAGCCCTGGCAGTATGAAGTTACATGTCTCACTAGTGTGCATACACAGAGCCCTGGCAGTATAGTTGAACACTAACATGACAGGAAAGGAGGAACTGACTTAACAGTCCGTCTGTGTTAGCTGCCAGAAGCTTTTACTAAAACTGGAATCTCGTTCCCAGACTTCGCATGGCAAACCTTCCCTCTCCCCCCCCCACCCCACCCCCGCAAGTCCCATATGAGCATTTGAGCGTTTGTATAAGTGACTTTGTGTAGAAAGGTCCATTCTTATCATACTCGGGGGCCCATGCTCTTAACTCCAGGAGGGTGGAAAGTTCCAGACCAGCCAAAGCTAAATGGCCGGTGAGATGATTTGGTGGGTAAAAGCTGCTTGCCAAGTGAACCTGACACCAGAGCTCACCCCTAGAACCCACATACAGGAGCTAGGAGACAGCAGACTCCAGAGTTGTGCTCCGATCTTCACACATAATCCATGACATAACATGCATGGCATCCAGGTGCCCACATACAACCTACACACAAGAATGAAAACAACATTTTTGTTTGTTTGTCTAATTCCTGTTATTCAGGAGGCCAAGGTAGAGTGAGTTCAAGGCCAGCCTGGGTACCTTTAGTGACACCTTGTTACACATTTTCAAAAGGGAAAAAAGGGTAGGCATGGATCAGTTCTAGAGTGATTAATACCTGGTTCAACTTATAGTTCTGCAGTAAATATGTAAGACCCTTCTTTTTCAAATATTTATTTGTTTATTATGTATAATGCTCTGTCTGCATATGTGCCTGCACACCAGAAGAAGGCACCAGGTCTCATTATAGATGGTTGTGAGTCATCTTGTGGTCCCTGAGAATTGAACTCGGGACCTCTGGGAAAGCAGCCAATGCTCTTAACCTCTGAGCCAACCCTCCTGGCCCCTGTAAGGCCCTTCTTGATGTATAATGGGTGTTTTTCTTGTTTGTGAGTTTAATGATGGCTGCAAAGATTTGGTCAGACCTTCGAGTAAATGGTTCAAGACCAGCTAAGTCACAAAACACTTATCGTGGCTTTACGGTGCCCTTGTATTGCCAATACCTCGAGGCTGTCTCATCAGGGGACTGAGGAATTTGCTGGGAATTGATGGTGCCCTCCCTCCTTGCATCCTCTGCAACCTGGCCTTCCTCTCTCCTGTCTCAGCCTACCTGATCCCTCCCTGCAGGCATCATCCGGTCAGGGATACCTGAATTTCTTTCTTTCTTATAAAGTATAGGTGTGTATGCTAAGAAGGTAATTTTTAGTCCTGGGCTTGGAAAATCACTGAGCTGCGTTTGGCAGATCTTTGATGTTTTCTGATCTGTGATGGGTAGAATCCCTAGAGCCTTGTTTTCCAGGTTAGCAACCTAAGTGACTTAAGTTATGAACATCGTTTTTAGTAGTGTGTAAAACAAAGGGAAGGGCTGGAAGAAGCAGGCTAAACCCAGGGGGAGGGAGAAAGAAAGGGGGATAGGAAGGGTCTTACCTGTTTGTACTGTTCACCGTGAGGCTGTCTCTTCACATAATTGTGCGATAAAATCAAACCAAATTTTACTGTGGTCACATGACATGCCTTCCGCCATGGCCCAAAGAAAGAATCCCCTGTCTCGTGGTTGTATTCAACCCTGCCTTTTTAGAAACATAGTGTTGTATAAAACTTGGTGTGAGTTTACGTTTCTGTTTTTGTTTTTTTGTTTGTTTGTTTGTTTGGATAACCCTGATGACTCACCTGTTTATAATGATGGAAGCAGTCCACATCCCTCCTCCCTGGCTGGTGCTGGGAGGGCTATGGAGGACTGAAGCCACTTTTACTTAGAGCTGTGGCAAGTGGAGCCTTCTGGGCTTTTTCTTCTCCAGGACTTAGATATAACTTCAGAGAACACCCTGGAGTTAGGCCCCACCTGTCACCTCTTCTTGCTCAGCCCCTGTCTGTGGTGATCATGGCACCTACGCCTTCAGCTAACCTGCCCTGTGGTTAGCGCAAGTTCAATTTTCAGTTTTATTTTCAGTGCTGAAACTAACCCTAGCGCCCCGCACACACCAGCATTCTACCCGGGGCTGAATCCCCAGCCACCTCAATAAGTTGGCCAAACAAGCCCTAAACTCAGTCTGTAGCCTGGACAAGTCTTATCCATCCTCCTGCCTCGGCCTCCTGAGTAGTCCTCCTGGAATCACAGGTGTGCACCATCCGGCCCAGCTTCTAATTTTTTTTTTTTTTTTTCCATTAGCTAACGTTTAAAAGTAAAAGGAACCAGCCACTTAAATACTTCTGATTTCGGCCTTGCTTGTCTTGCTTGAAAAACTCCACTGTTTATTCTTCCATGGCTGAGTCTAGATGCTTAATTATGTTTTGTCTTACATCAAACATTAAACAGTTTTGGGGGGGTAACTAGCTGACATTAGCCACTGAGCATACCACAGTCCATTAAAATTCTTCACATTATCTCTGGAATGAGGCAAGGCCCAGAGAAATAAATACTTCACAATCGTGGAGCAGTGTACTAGCTGCTTCCCAACCCCACCACAGGAGACGAGTCAGCTGCTGAGGTTCCGTTGCCCAGGCCATCGGTTTCACAGCACAGCAGCCTAGGGGCTGTACCCATTCAGTGTTAATATCTGAAGGACAACTTATTGGTGGGTGGGGCTGGAGAGACAGCTCAGCAACTGAGACTTTTGTGTTACCCCTGCAGAGGACCTGGGTTCAGCTTCCAGCCCCCTCATGGTGACCCACAGCCAGTTCCAGGCCTCCACAGACACTGCATGCACACACAGAAAAGCAGGCACACACGCATACGCATAAACAAGAATACCAGAGGTCTAACAAAGCTCCAAAGTTTCCTGACATGTGTTGCAGTGAATTTTAGGCACAATGTGCCCCCCCCCCAGGCAATAGGCCTGTGAAGTCAGGATAGTAGTTACAAAGAAAACACCTGTTCTTATGTGATCCATTTGAATAATAATAATGGCCACCCTATGCGTGCCAGGAAGTATGCTGGGTGGTTTACTGCTGGTGCAACTGATAAGTATCTGTTTTACGTGGAGGTGTAATCCCCTCAACCAACAGCAAAGAGTACCTGAGGTGATACTGAGCCAGGCTTGAGGCAGAGCCCAGGCCCTCCCATTGGTCAGTCACCAAAAGACACAGCTTCGGTGGGACAGAATCTCCATTGCAGAGTCCTTGTTGTTAATTGCTTCTAGGAAAGTGATGTACGTGATAAGCCTTTAAGTGTTCGCTTTCATTTACGCCGTCATTAATGTGGTCTCTGCTATGACGGAGGTGGGTAGGCCCAGGCTCTTACGGTGCGTTTATAATACTGATTCTTTTCTTCTTTAGCCACCAGCTAAATCCCTCCTTCCAGAGGTGACGGTGCTCGACTACGGGAAGAAATGTGTGGTTATTGATCTGGACGAAACCCTGGTGCACAGTTCATTCAAGGTAAATTCTACGTTCGGGATAGTGTGTGTGTGTGTGTGTGTGTGTGTGTGTGTGTGTGTGTGTGTGTGTGTGTTGGGGGGGTCTTTGTGACTTCATGACCTCCGTGTGAAAAGGACGGACGAGAGCTGTGCCTGTGTGTGAGACTTCACTTCTCTTGAAGAAATCCCTTGAGCTCAGGGTTTGGGCCTGACCTAACCCAGGTGAACCTCATGAGCTGTAGTAGTTGAATATTAACATATTGGTTTGGGGAAGAAATTACTGGGCCACCGATATCACTGAGCTCTCCAGACTTCCTCGGGACCTACGCCCTATGGAAATGTTTTTAGATTTAGGTGGTATGGGCAATCAGTACCCAGTATGCATTTTATGGAGTGGGGACCCCTGAAAACTGTCGGGTGTCCTGCTGTCCTGGTAATGTTCCCAGATCAATGTTTACGCCCAACTCTCGAACGGGCTGGGCCGTTCATTCTGATCATGTTGGTGCTGGGGTTTCTTGTGCCCGTGAGTGCCCACCTTCACAGCCCCTCTCAGTGGGTGATGAGCTGCAGCTAAGCTACGTCTAAGTGAATGTCAGAGGCTTTGCGGGGAAGCAGTGGATGGTTCTGGTGTCCGTGGACTATTCCTGCGGTGAGACTGCTCTACCCTGGCCACTGTCACTAAATTCTTTTCTCCCGCCTGCCCTGAGACACCTCAGGCTTTCACTGAGAGATGTGACTGCCACCACCTGTGATGGGCTGGGTGTCTCACCCGAGCCCTTGCCATTCCTGGCAGGCCATCAGGCAGGAAGAGCCATCAGATTTACCTCGCACCGTCCTGCTGGAAATAGCATCTTACATTGTGCCTTCTCGTGAACAAACAGGACAAGGTCAGGAGGCTGTCTCCAAAGGCTTTGGGGTTGGCAGCCTAGCAGTGACAAGGGGACTCATTCTAGTGGCTGAGGCTTGTAGGTCCATCTCTTTACCCAGCATTCCAAGGGCTGGGCTCCTCCAGGATTGGTCCAAGCTCGGCATTGCAGCAGCCCCTGTCCTATGAAGCAAATGGCTGGGGCTTCAAGCCCTTCAGAGGGGGGTCGGTTGCTGACGTAGCATAGAAAGCACTCCTAAAGAGCCCTGGACAAACCGCCCAAGATTACCAAGGGTCCGTGGCTCTGAAGCAGGACCTTGGCAGCCCATTGTCTCTGGACCCTGCTCAGAGGGCACAGCTGCCACTCGCTGTGAACAGAAATTCCTCATTCCTTCCCTGGCCTGATTACTTTTTAAAATTCTCTTACCTTTTTATTTGTCTATTTTTGTGTGTGAGTGCATGTGTGCCATGGGGTGTGTGTGTGAGTGTGTGAGGGTGTGTGTGAGTGTGTGTATATCTGTGTGTGTGTGAGAGTGTGTGTGTGTGTGTGTGTGTGTGTGTGTAAACGTCAGAGTACAGCTTTTATGGCTCACGTCTTCCCTTACACTGCGGGTTTGTGGGATCGAACTCCTATCATCAGGCCTACAGAGCCTTGAGCCGTGCGTGTGTCCTTGCTGCACCCTGCCCCGTCTCACAGGCTCAGACTGAGCTACTTTTTCAAGTCGGATTATGGCTGTTAATGTTCTGGGCATTTCAGAGTCTTCTGAGAAAGTGTGTGCTGTGAACCCCTGTGTGACACACGAGCTCAGGACTTGTAAGCTGGGACGGATTCCCCTCACTTCACCACGTGGAGTGTGATTTCACAACCCAAAGCCTTGTGACAGTTTCTTCTCTAGTCGTTTTCTCTTTTTCATAACTCCATATTTCAGTGGTGAAATTTTGAGTTCCTCCCTTGCTTTTCTACCCTGGGAACAGATAGACTATGGTCTTAAACCTCAGCAACACCCCCACATCTGAACACACAGCGGTGGGGTGATGGTCTAGCTCACTCCACAGTGAGGGGGTGATGGTCTAGCTCACTCCACAGTGAGGGGGTGATGGTCTAGCACACTCCATAGTGGTGGGGTGATGGTCTAGCACACTCCACAGTAGGGGGTGATGGTCTAGCTCACTCCACAGTGGTGGGGTGATAGTCTGGCACCTCATGTTCTTCGGTTTGTATGTTAAGGAAGAGTATGGTCCACTGCTAAGCTTAGAGGCTGGCCCAGTTTACAGCCTGACCAGAGGTTCTGCACACCTCTACCCAGGTGCCACCATGTGCCTCTGTCTTCCTGAGTCTCTCTTGCTCTGAGATCTGCAGGCTGATGCTTCTTTTGGACCCGTATGGGAACTTTTCTAATCTGTGGGATTCTGTGTATACCTGAATATAAGCCTGTCATCTAAAGTCAGTTTACTTTTCAAACGTGTCTAATACTACCCAAGAGTTATGCTAAAAGCCTGTGAAGTTGTGGGTGAGCTGGGTTTTGTGTTTCTTAGAACAGAGCAGTTGAGAAGCTGGCTGCCTTCCAATTCCAGAACAAAACACCAGGCCAGGCCACCAGGCAGGGCCTGAGGCTGCTGATGGAGCCATGGGGACCCATCAGACCCACCACCATAGCAGTTGAAGAGACGCTGAAGTGGAGAGGGGAAGTCTGCCCAGGGTCCTGGCCTGGGCCGTCTGGCTCCGCCTCCCGTGGGCCTGGGCTCTGGGCACTCCCTGCCAAGCTGCCCACACTGAGTTTAAGGACAAATTGCTTTTCCAGTGATGCTGGCTTCAGCCAGCAGGCTCTCGTCTCTGCCCCCTGGTGGCCATCAGCAGTTCCCCTTATGCTGTCTGGGACCATCTGAGGAGGCCCCTTGCCAGGCTGCACCACCCTTTGAGGTTGAGGCAAAGCAAGTGACTAAGAGGTTGGACCAGGATGCTGAAAATACACAACACCCAGAGAGAAATGTGCCCTTCTTGCTTGTGTGATTTCGAGGACCCAAGGCACGTGCCAACACCCTCCTGAACTGTTGGCCCCAGTTATCAAAACATTGGTCCAGGCAAGCTTTTCGCTTGCTAAAATTTCCCATTTAATTTTCCCTTCAGACATATTAATCCCAGTTTCTTTTCTCTCTAGCCCATTAGCAATGCTGATTTCATTGTTCCGGTTGAAATCGATGGAACTATACACCAGGTAAGACATCAAAGCAACCTGGAGTTTGGGGAACATTTTTTTTTTCTGGTAACCACATTCCCTGTGAATGTAATTTCTAAATTCCCATCTCAGTGGTAAATTGTTTGAGCCACAGAAAACAAACTTTGTATAGTAAATACAGTGAGCTGGGCATGGAGGCAGAGGCAGGCCAATCTCTATGAATCCAAGGCCAGTTTGTTCTACAGAGTGAGTTCCAGGACAGCCAGGACTACACAGAGAAACCCTATCTTATCTTTTTTTTTTTTTTTTTTTTAACCAGAAATAGAGTGAATGACTTTCTACCTCACACACACATTTGTTTTGTGCGGTTTACGAGGGACCTTTTCAGTTCATAAATTTTAGATGTGATTGTTCTTTGATTTGGTGTAGACTTCCAGAAGTTTCTAGTCTGCCCCAGCCTCGACATCTGGTTACTGCCCTCCTATGATTGGGCTACTCCTAACATGCAATAGGAAAATGCCACCAGTCACTCACTTAGGGGGCATTCTTGGGAATAGGTGTCCCTTTGATGCCAGCGGCCCCAGAGTGATCTTATCACGAGCTGTTTTCTCCAGCGGCTCAAAGCAAAGGGGAAAGGTGTGTTAATATCAGCAGGCTGCTGTGGACACAGCCAGTTGGCATGAGTCTTTTTTTTTTTTTTTTTTTTTTTTTTTTTTTTCCTTTGACATCAGCAAGCTCCTCTGGGAATGGCTTCATTTATGAATACGTTAGGAGCTTGGTAGAAAAACTGGCCTTGGAGGTTAAAGTAGAGGTGGCTTCTTGTCAGATGCCACTTAGGGCTGCGTGGGATGCCATAGCTTAATGATGTTAGCAAGGCTCCGTGACTCTTGGATGCAGGTTGTTACAATAGACCCAGGCCTGTGACGTCGCTATCTGGCCACACCAGGAACACACCGGGAACTGAGACTTGCTTAGGGGAAGGGTTAGCTCAAGATTAAATATGAAAAGTATCGAATTGAGGATCCTGACTCACAAGCAGTCTTGGCTCCGCCTGACCCCTCCTGGGGAAGGCGCCGTCTCATGCTTTTAAAAGCCATCTAAAGCCAAAACTGCAGGCACCTGGGCCTTTAAAGTTCGCAGAGTACCCGCTGATTAACTCAGCACCCGACAAGGATTTCGGACTTCTGCATTGAGTACTGTGCCTCGAGTTGCGGAGATCCTGAGATGAGGCACAGGAGGGCTGCCCCGTGGCATGGAAGGGGAGGGGGTGGGGAATCCTCCGCACCACGGGACCGCGAGCATGCGCAGCTACCTCAGCCCCTTCTCTTTGGCAGTAGATACCCCAGGGACCCAGGGCTGAGATCAGAAACGCCTAAGGGGAGGAAGCTCCAGATGCGGAAAGCAAGAGGACCAAGGCCCTGGCGAAGGCCGTGGCCTCGTTCAAGTAATCCAGGATAGGCTGTGCAGGTCCCAAGGGGCCTATTCTTGGTTACTTGCACGGGGACGCGGGCCTGGACGCCGGCATCCGGGCCCAGGATCCTCCTTTCTGCCAAAGGCGCCAACGTCAGAGTTCCCTGCAGTCTCCAGCCCTTTGCACGTAGCCAAGCTTGCTGTCCAAGCAGTCCTCCCCTCCCAGGGACACAACCGGAGGCCACACCAGTCACTGGCACCCGCACCAAGGGGTGTTATGAGTAGAGGGGGTCCAGCTGCAGCCATACCTCTGTCCTCGGCCCTAGCCCAGCACCCCAGTGCAGTAGGGTCCTATTGTTACTCAGTCTCCCGCCCATTCCTCCGGCCCCGCCCTCCGCCACAGAACCAGGCCTCAGTTCCCTTCGTTCGGCCATCCCCGTCTTTTCCCACCAAGCACCATTTTCTGACAGCAAAGCAGCTGCTTCCACGTGGGAAATTCATCACCTGCAGTGTGTTCTTACAAGTGGTGCAGAGCCTCCCGCTCTGCGGCGTCTCTCTCCTGCTCTGTCTGCTCCTGTGATTGGCTGGGCACGCTGGCTTTAGCATACCACCACATGTGTTTGTTGTCAAGGGTCCGGCTTAGAAGTTTGACTCGAACTCTTAGCATGCAAGCTCCTATTCATCCTTCAAGGTCCAAGCCACATGTTACTCTCTGTGACTCCCTCCTCTGGAAAGGAAAATTAATTGCCTTTAATGTACCCTCCCCCCTACGGTGAGTGTTGTTGTATTCACTGATTTCTGTGTGTGCTCAAGGCTGTGAGTCGGGCACAGCATCCCACTCAGCCTTGTAGCTGTACTGAGCACACAGCGCTGTGACCTGGTAAATGCGCTGTATTTCAAAGAGATGGCTAACTTCGGTGGAATGTATCCAAGTTTTAATTGGTTCTTCCCTCCCTCTTCCCACTTGTCCTCCCTGGCTTTGTTTCTCTCTCATCTCCCAGTTCCCTCAGACTCATTTCACCTTCAGAGACAGGAGCCTGTATGTTAGCCGAAGCCACGATGCCTTGTGATCCTGTCTGCCCTGACCTGAAGGGCGCGTGGGGCCCAGCTGTGGGAAAGAGACACCCCTCGACACTCTAAAATACCATCTGCACTCCCACATAAGCAGAGTGACCTCCGTGGTGTGGAGTGGACAGTTTCCAAGCTCTTTAACCCTAGGCCTTATGGGGTGGGGATGAGGACTTTTCGGAGTAGAAGGCAGCAGCCAGTCCTGGATTCCACAAGGACCGCACCTAGGCTGTAGCCTATGCCCACATGGAGACTGACTCACGGCGGGGTCAAAGCCCACGTGGGATGCATGAGTGGCCTCACCTGAACGCTGTACAGCTGCGTTCCACTTGCTAGCCCTGATGAGCCCAAGACCCTTGATACCAGGGTCAGCTTCCCTTTCTCTTTGTGAGGGTTGTCTACACCAGGAACCTACATCCGATTCTCCAGTCCAAACCTCAGCAAACCATGCATAAGCTTGACCACAGGATGAGGGACCCCTGGGGCGGCCGTTCCCAGGCCCAGGGCATCTCTGGCTGCTGTGTGACTGACGGCCTATTGTCTCCTCCCATTGCAGGTGTACGTCCTGAAGCGCCCACACGTGGACGAGTTCCTCCAGAGGATGGGGCAGCTCTTTGAGTGTGTGCTTTTTACTGCCAGTTTGGCCAAGGTGCGTCCTGCTCCCTGCTGCAGACTCCCAGCCAACGTGCCAACCCCTACACCCTCCCACAACCCCCCCCAACAACCCCTCCACCCTCCCACACCCCCCCCAAGCCACCAAGAGCCTTTTGTTAAGGTGGAGGAAGCTATTTTTACGGTGACAGGTTCCCACCCCAGATGGGATGGATGCAGGCCATGTGCACACTGCCAGGCTGAAAGGCTTCTGGTTACCATGGTGACGGGGAGCATTTAGAACAAATGCTCCATGAAGTTGCTGTAGGCAGCCACCTGAAACCAGTTACCCACAGACGAAATCACATGACCCGTCCATTGTGACTACAGAAGGATGGCTACACAACACGTGGCGTGTCCCTCAGCCGCTGACTGGCAGCCAGATGTGAGAGGTCTCTGTGTCCTTGGGTTTAGTGGCCACAGGTTTTGGGGGAGCACAGGTATCAAGTGTCACTTGGAGGCATGGGCTGATGAAATTTCCGACTGGCTTGGGGAGCCGCCTGGTGTCTGGCAAGTCCCCTGCTTCCGGCACCTCCGTTTCCTCTTATCTAGTTGGGACCAATTGCATCTGCTTGGTGGAGTGGATTAAATGAGATGGCCCGTGTGAATGGCTCAGCACAGCTACCAACTCCTATTAAGCAGCCACCTGCTGAGCCGTCACGGTGTTCTGTGCCCCGCCCTGGACACTGTCACGGGGCAAGCATCCCTGTCGTCCGGTGGGTGTATAGTGCCATAGTATTGGTGTGGTGATGTCATCATACAGGCAGGGCTGGTGGCTACCATGCTGTGCTGCAGGGCAGACGGAACAGGCCCCAGCTCCCCCTCCCAAGTCTGCCAGCCGTGATTCTCAGGGTCGGGCCGTCCACTTGGTCAAGCACTGGCAGTGCCTCCATGGGCACCTTGGAAGCTCTGGGCTGCCCCAAAGATGAGTTCTTTGCCGTGCAGGTTAACGCCTCCGAGAGCCACCAGCAGCTTCCTCCTTGGTGGCCTGCCTCAGGCGGCACCCACATTCCTCTACATACTGACCTTTGACCTCAGGTCCTCAACAGTGCTCCTCTGGCTGGGCTGTTCCCTGTGCTGACCGAGGCAAGGGCCACCACCTACCTACCGTGTACAAAAGACAGAGCATGGCCTCAAGGAAATAGTCTTCCCCAGTGGTGCCAAGACTAATTGTGTGTGCAGCTTCAGCGGTATTTCTGGTCCTGCTCCGGGGATGCCAAAGAACCTGAAGTCATAACCAGCCAAGTAGCAAGCGCGAGGATTGCGCCGGTGCGCTGGGCGAGGGTTGTTTTTCCTTGGCGAGATTGAAAACACTCTTCCTTGGCATTATCCCTGGTGTGCGCCCAAGCATCCCTATTTGGGCTGCTCTTCCTGCGCCGCCATCTGTGTCTCTAGCCCTACCCTACCGTCAGTGTTCTTCTTGCCCTGCAGAGTTGCCAGTACAGCCTTTGTACTTACTGACTGCTTGACTCAGCCTGCAGCACTTACCCGGTGGGTCTCCCTGCTTCCCGCCAGGGCCTGCGGGCACAGCCCACTGACTCCCAGACTTCGTGCTACGGCATATACCCTTCGTGCGTGGTAGGGCACCAAGGATACGGAAGACGTGAGGTCCCTGCCTCAGGTGCTGGTAGGCTTCATCCTGATCTTGCAAGCCTGGATTCCCCCAGACACTTCCCTAAAAGATGATTGACAGGAATGGAGAGGCGGCTCAGCACTGGCTGCTCTTGCGGAGGACAGGACCCAGGTCCAACACTCAGCACCCACATGGGAGCCCACAACTCTCTGTAACTCCAGTTCCAGGGCATCCAATGCCCTTTCCCAGCATCTGTGGACACTGCCCATATATGGTGCCATACATACATACATACATACATACATACATACATACATACAAGCAAAACATTCATACACATAAAATGTTTAAAATCAATCTTTTAAAGACAGAATTTAAAGGATGATTGCCACCCCTGGTGGTGTCAATGAGGAGAAGATGGCCCATCTTTTTCCATCTAGGTCGACCCTTTGTAGACTGCTCGCACGCCCCGTAGCCAGCTTCACCCAAACAGGGCTCTGAGCTGTGGGAGGTGCAGCTCCCGCAGAATGTCCTTTGAGTGGAAAGGACTTTCCCACAGACCCAGCTGCAGTCCATCAGGTATGGCCTTCATGACTCAGCCTCAGGTGTTGGCTCCCTCCCAGGAAGGGTTGCCAGCCCTGGGGATTCCTGGCTGTGGGCCTTCCTTTGGCCATGCTGCTGCGTCCAGTCCTGCAGGGCAAGGCAGTGATAGGATATGCTGAGTGCCATGTACTTCTCCAAAGACAGTGGGTGACCAGTGGAGACCCTGAAGCAGGGCAGTGATGCTTGTGCTGTGTGCCCTCCCGTGGCCACTCTGACAGCTGCTGGGGAAATGAATGGGCGCTGGGAAGAGGGGCCAGCAGGAAATAGGAGCCTCCCCAGTCAGGAGACCTGGCCCAGGAGATGCATTGGGCTAAAGGAGTGAAGGTAGGGAGTCGGGATGTTTTTGGAGATGAAACCGACAGGAACTTCTGATGGATTCGATGGGCAAGAACTGTAGGAGACTCCGAGAGGGAAATACCAGTCCTAAAATATGTCCCATTATCCAGTCCCCCTCTTAAAAGCGGTCTAAAAGGCTGATGAGCTGACTCAGTGGGTCAGGCCACCCGACACACAAGCCTGGCGACCCTGAGCTCTGTCCCTGGAGCACACTCAAGTGACGGTGGAGGAAAAGCAGCTCCATAAGGTTGGCCTCTGACCTCCACGCGCACATTGTACGTACACAACAGCAATAATAACTTTAAAGGGAAAGCAGCAGGTCTGAGAAACTGGGAAGATGGCTTTTTAGTAGGTAAAGCGTTGGCGCAAGCTTCGTTAGAATCCACGTAGAGCCGAGTGTGGCCAGTGTGGCCCCTGCAGGTCCGGCACTGGGGAGGCAGAGCCAGGGTCCCTGGGGCTCACTGGCCAGCAAGTCTGGCCGAATCAACAGCTGCAGGTGTAGGGAGAGACCCAAAAACTGAAGTGGAGAAAAATAGAGAAGGACTGGATGGTGACCTCACGTGTGTCCGTGCACGCATGTACACACACAGGAACCCAAACAAGGAGTGATCCGTCCTAGGTAGCTTCTTACAGGGCCATAGCTGTGCAGCTTTGTAATTCTGTCCACTTTCTGCAATTACTCAGAACAGCGGGCCTTTCTTTCCCTCCCTCCTTCCTCCCGTCCCTTTCCTCCTTCCCTAACACTTCTGGCCCCTTCTTCTCTCTGAAGCTCCCCCATCCTCACCCCTACCCGTCCATGTGGCTTTTTTGTTTGTTTGTTTGTTTAACCTTGTTTTCTCCAGTCTCCTCTGCCAAAATTTATAGCTTGCCAGACCTGGGATTTTTCCTTCCAAATCTAATAAAACACACCAAGACAAAAAGTCAGAGCCTGATGTCATGATTCATGCCTGTGATCTCAGCACACCACGGGAGATCTTACCTTAACTCCCCTGCCCCCCCCCCAACCCCCAGAAAGGACTGTGCGTCTTGGTGTGGTAGGTGAATTCCTGGCTCTTCCAGACGGTCACTGGGACTATCCTTCACAGTACGCAGACCCTGTAGCTGACCTCCTGGACCGCTGGGGTGTGTTCCGGGCCCGACTCTTCAGGGAATCCTGTGTTTTCCATCGAGGGAACTACGTGAAGGACCTGAGCCGCCTGGGACGGGAGCTGAGCAAAGTGATCATCGTGGACAATTCTCCTGCCTCCTACATCTTCCATCCAGAGAATGCTGTAAGTGCTCCCAAAGACCAGGCTTGGGTCTGGGTCACCTTCTGACTCTGGCCTGCCACTCAGGCACCTGCCACTCGGGAACCACTCCTGAACACCTGCACAAGGTGGAGCTCTGGGACCCTTGGTTCTCTGAGGCAGGGTTTCTCTCCGTAGCCCTGGCAGTCCTGGAACTCACTCTGTAGACCAGGCTGGCCTTGAACTCAGAGATCCTCTGCCTCCTGAGTGCTGGGATTAAAGGCATGCGCCACAGCCACCACCACCACCACGCCTGGCGCTTTATTTGCCAGATCTTGACTCAGCCACCTAGTGATGGCAAGGCATTGGCTCCTTTAGCCTCCCTCCTCATTGCGAGTGGGGTTGACAGGGCCCCTGGCTGAGGGGTGGCTGAGGACTCAGTGTGAAGTGAAGGGGGTTTAGGACAGGGCTTGGACCTGGCAGGGAGTGCTGGCAAGCTAACTCTACAGTAGTGGAGAGGACTCTGTCACTGCTTCACAGAGCTGGTGCTGCTCAGAGCTTTATGACCTCCCCGACTCAGCAGGTGACCCCTCAACAGAAGAGTGTCCTCAATGAGAATGAACAGAGCACTTTAGAGATGGCTTCCCTTCAGACTGTCAGCTCTGCTACCTCACAGCGACGTCTGAGAAGCCCACCTGGGAAGGCTTCCTGCATTGAGCTCCCTGAACCGTAACCACCCTTGGTGCCCATTCACCAGGGCCGCACAACTCACAGAGCAGGGGTCACCACACCAGGCCCATGTCTGTCTGTCCGTCTGGACAAGTGCTTCTCAGGGTCACCCCAAGCCTTCACAGATTTCCCACAGACATCCCATCCCCCATTTCTCTGTGTAGCCCTGGCTGTCCTGAAACTCAGTCCGCAGACCAGGCTGGCTTTGAGCTCTGATCCTCCTGCCTCTGCCTCCAGAGTGCCGGGATTAAAGGTGGGTACCGCCACTACTCAGCCATACATCTCGTTTTTTAAGTCTAAAATTCTATAGCTGGACTCATTATAAGGGGGTGGGGGGCTATATTCAGTTAAAATGTAAAAACAGTCAAACTGCCTTACAGTTAAATATGTTCGTGTTGCCAGATGTGGTCATGCATCTCTGTGAGTCTGAGGCCAGCCTAGCCCACATAAAGAGTTTCAGGCTAGTCAGAGCTACATAATGAGACCCTTTGAATAAGGAAACAGGTTGGTGTTAATAAGTCAATCAGATTCCGCCTAGTGCCCTGGGCGGCTGTCCCCAGCAGAGAGGGGTGTGCCCAGTGCTATCATAGTCCCCTCCCCACACCACACAGCCATTTGTGTTAGCTACAGTACACACTGTTCATGCTCTTGACCAGTTTTCTGGGGTCTGGATGGTTTAAGTCAGGATCTAAGGAAGGTCTGTGCATCGCTTCATGTAACATGTCTCAGTTCTCAGTATCTCTTCCCTCCCCATTGCGCCATCTGTCATTTATTCCTGGAGAGTTTACCGAGTTGTCTTATGGGAACTTTCTACCGTCTCTATTTGCCTAGGCGTTTGTAGTGTTTTTTAGCTACCCTTCCTCCTTCAGGCAAGCAAGTAGACTTTCTGTCTGCTATTTGATTAGACTTTTAGATTTTTTGTTTTGTTTTGTTTTGTTTTTTTGCTTCTTGTAGTTTTATTTGTAATCATCTGTTTGCCTGTATGAGAATATGCACATGAGTGTGGTACCTCAGGAGGCCAAGACAGCATCAAACCCCCTGACGCTGGTGTTACGGGTGGCTGTGAGCTGCCTCATGTGGGTGCTGGGAACTGAACTCAGGCCCTCTGCAAGAACAGTACATGGACACCCGGCATTGGTGGCGCACACCTGTAGTCCCAGCACTTGGGAGGCAAAGGCAGGCGGATCTCTGTGAGTTTAGGGCCAGCCTGGTGTACAGAGTGAGTTCCAGGACAGACTCCAAACTACAGAGAGATCCTGTCTAGAAAAACACAGAGAGGTAAATAAATGCGCTCTTCGCCACCCACCCATCTCTCTAGCCCCTCTTTTAGTGTTTTAAAGAATTTATTTTTACATCTATGTATATGTGTGCTACACACATGCAGTGCCCACAGAAGCCGGAAGGGCGTGACCCCCCTGGAGCAGGAGTTACAGGAGGTCACGAGTCACCTCATGTGGGTGCTGGGAACCAAACTCAGATCCTTTGGTAGAGTAGCAAAGTGTCGTGGTGGCTGAGCCATCTCTCCGGGCCCTTCTTTTTTTCTTTCCTAACAAGAATATGGCATAGGAGGGTCCGTTGACTTGGTTCAGTTGCTAGAGCATCCACTTAGCATGAGCGATGCCCCGGGTTCAATCCCAGCACTGAAAGTCAGTAAGTAAATACCTTTTAGTTTCCTCAGACTTCCTTTTAAATGTCTTCTTTGAACTTCGGGCCCCTCTCCACTCCTCCCCCTTCCTCCTCCTCTACCAAAAGGGAGCCCCCTCTTCGCCGTAGCTTCCGAATGCCCTAAGATCGGACACGTTTACCTGGTGACTGCTAAGCCTGGGCAGGAACTCCCTGCTTCTCCTTGACTCATAGCTTAGAGCAGTGGCCCTGACTAGAGTCTGGACCGGTCCGTGTGCCTGGTTTGGGATTTGTGATTGGTCGTTAGCAAGTAACCTTTGAGAGGCAAGGGGGGGGGGGGGGCCTTGACTGGCAGTGGGCCAATTCCGTGCCATAAAAAGAGCTTTGGAAACGGGCAGGGAGTGGCCATCTTTTCTTTAGCAGGAAAGCTAAAGGGGACCCTCTGCTCACTGACGCGTCTCCTACACCTGTGCCGGCCCTGCTCAGCTCTGGCACCAACTCCGAGCTAACCGTGCTTGGTGCTGGGGAGCAAACAGAAGGGGACGGTGACCGTGCCACCCGTGGGTCCCCTTCGGCTGCCTCCAGACACACTGTCTTGCAGGTGCCTGTGCAGTCCTGGTTCGATGACATGACGGACACGGAGCTGCTGGACCTCATCCCGTTCTTCGAGGGCCTGAGCAGGGAGGATGACGTGTACAGCATGCTACATAGACTCTGCAGCAGGTAGCCCTGGCCTCGGGGCCTCGGGGGCCTCGGCCTGTCTTCACCTGTGCACTCTGGGGCCCCTGGCTCAGGAGCCCCTCCCGGCCTCAGCTCCTGAGAAGACTCCGTGCCCTGGGCCACGGGGTGAATGTCGCCATGCCTACCTGTTTTGTTTTGTTTTGTTTTTTAAAGAACAGAAACAACTATTTTAAAGAAAAAAAGAAGAAAACTCTTTTAATAGATTTCATAAAAGGACATGCATTTTACCAGATTCGATTTTCTTAAAACATACCAAAAAGGAAAAAGAAAAAAAAAAAAAAAAAACCACGTTGGTATCTTTCAGATGTCCTTTCAACTGTCCTCCCTCTAAGAGACAGCCTGTCCCCTTTGTCCTGGTTTGGAGCAGCTCACCCAACTCAAGAATCTCTTTCCTATAGGATGAAGTGCCTTTTTGAATGTTATTTTAAGCTGAGAATTAATTTTTGTACACAACCTATTTCCAGACGTCTTTTACTGTCTTAGATACCCTAAGACGACAAACAGGACAATTTTCTAGAACCTGGTAGCTTGTGTGTGGTGGGGTGAGGGTGTGGCCAGGGAGGAAGTAGGTCACCGGAGCGACAGTCAGCCTGTGGCTTGCGCAGGGTCGCGCTCCCTCTGACAGGTTTCTGGCCAGTCCGGGATGTAAGGGCCCGATGCTTTATGAAGCATCCGATTCCTTTCATTATGATCTCTGGTGTTGATAAGGTTTGTCTTGAGGTCGCATTTCCCCCTTGAACGGAGACATTATGTCGTTCTGCTTTTCACGGCTATCAAGTGTGTCCGTTGTTGTTTTTTTTTTTTTTTTTTTTTTTTTTTTTTTTTTTCTGTTGTCACTGGTTTGAGGAGAATAGTTACAGAAACCCCTGAAGCCCTTGGATTGTCCAGCCTGTCCTTTGGGAAGCCGGGTACACATGGAGCTGTTTGGGACTTCTGCTGCTACTGTGCTACTTGCCACCAAATGGAACTGCCCAGCGGCTGCTACACTGCTCTTTGCCATCGTGCCTATGCTCAGAATACGCTCACCGCTAAACCGCAGACTGGGACAGGGTCGTAGGGGGGCGTCCCACCCCCTCAAGCCTGGCACCGACTGTCTCCCTTCCTTGGCCCTGGCCACCAAGAATGCTGAAGGGCACAAAGGTTTTTTTTTTTTTTTAAAACAAACAAACAACAAAAAAATAAAGAAAGGGCCAGAGAGGGCTCAGTCGGGTGTGGCATTCTCTTCACGCTGCAGTGGACACCAGAGCCTGTGGTACAGCTCTCCAGTCTCGCTTGAGAACCTGTGGCCTCAACCAGCCCAACGCCACTCTGGTGTCGCCCAAGTCCATCTCATGCTCTTTGGAAGCACAGCCTCTTCTGGCCAAGGGTCGGAGAAGCCTGTCTAGTCGGGAGACTCACTGCTCCAAACCAGGAGGAAGGGCGCCTCCCGGGAGAGCCTGGCCGGGGGTCTCTTTCCCCGCTGTCCCCGTTTGGTGTTTAGCAGTGCTGTGTTTCGTCCTAAAATTGAAGAGTCCTTTGTGCCGGCACCGTTGCCTTAGTCCTCTGTGGGTTGGGCCTCAGCCGGATTTCTGCTGGGAGTCGTCGGCACTAACGAGACTCAAAATCAGGGGTCAGGCTTAAAAACAAAAAGAAATTTTCTTTCACAAAATAATGACGCCAGCTACCTGGCCTATCTTCCCACAGTGCTTTGGTCTGGGAAGCCACTGTGCATTCAGAACAGAAATATGTGTGTGTGTGGGGGGGGGGGTCATCGGATCTCCTGACTCTCTGAGTGTTCCAAGCCCAGTAATCCCTGCGCCAAGTACAATAGAAGCTGCCCCTTTGCTCAGATGACCACAGAAAGCGACAGCTACGTGCTACGTGGCAGATCCACACACGCCATAAACCCTCATGGAAACCAGTCGTTAGCCAATCCCGCTGCCTTAAGAGTCTTGGGTGTCTCAGTGTCTGCCATGGGTCGGTTTCCACAGAGAACGAGGCCTGGATAAGAACCTCAGATCATCGCCTGTACCTCCTGCTGGCTGTGCTGGTGTTGCGAGCGGGCCTTATTTGGAAAAGGGGGCAGAATGGACTGAAATCCCAGAATATTTCAGAGGACGAGAACCTAGAAATAGTGCTTCGCTTCAGACGGGTTCGAGGCCGACCTTGGCCTTAAAGTTCTGGAGCAACATGTGTTTGTGCTCTCGGGCACAGCTCCCAGGTGGGGAGCCCTGTTCCTGCCACCACAAACGTGGAATGTCTTGGGTGGGCAGCAGGACCTCCAACGGTTCTGAAATCCACACCGTATTTGACCAAGCTCCAAAATGCCAATTTTTCTTTCTTTAAAAAAAAAAAAAAAAAAAAAAAAAAATCTGCTTTATGTATATAATTGAAAAAAATCTATATTTTTAATCAGTTACTTATAAATGAAGCAATAGAATTCTAATAAGGCCAAGAAAGGAGACGAATGTGTGGGGTTTATTTTCTTAAGGTAAATATACGGGTATTGCTTTTAATTTAGTTTATTGTAAAGTGTGGGCTTGAAAACTTATCAGCCACTTCTGTGTGCCATATCCTTCACACGTTACCAAAACACTCCCATCTCCTTAGCCAAAAGAAACTTCTGGCCTCCCGAGTCCCATGACCCTCTTAGCTGCAGGTCAGGACCACTCTCCTAATCAAGTGCTTTTGACAAGAAGGTCTGGGACAGGATGGCTTGGGATTGCGGACTCCAGCCTATACCTTTCGCATGACTTCAAGTGGGGGCTCCCTGGGCACCCCTGACCCCTGATGATGTTAGTGCTCTGTCTTCCATTTGTTCTGGAATCCTCCGTGTTGGTCTGCCGTTCATGCACTAGCTATTTGTAAACAATGCATTGGTATCCCAATAGCACCGCCTGTCACCGACGGCAGTTGGTGGGGATTCCATTGACACGGTGCGGTGGTGATGAGCCTGGGGACACGAGGACATCCACATGACACTAACTCATCATGGCTACAGCATTTGAAGTTGGGGACGCAATGAAACCTCTAGGTGTGTATAGCCTGGCAACGTTTTACAACCCTGTGAAAGATGGCTTTCTAATAAAATCTAGACACACAGCCCTGTTGGTCAAACACTCATGACGTTTGTGCCTCGCTTCTAATGGTGCTGGGCTGGACAGCTGGCACGCCAGGGCTTGAGAAGAGCAGGTGGCCCTACTGTGCAAACCTGCTGGCTGCCTCTGCTCCTGTCTTACTCCCAATCTGACCGTGTCCATCCCTGGAGCTGCCCTGAGGACAGGTACCCAGCAGTGGTGATGTTGGTGTCTGGGGGTTGGAAGTTGTGTTTTTCTGCTGGGTGTTTGAATGTGATGGCCCAGCGCTGCTTGGGAAATACTACATGTGGGATGTGCACGGTTCTGGGGGCAAGCATTGTCGATCAGTGATTTCCCTCCCGCCAAAAATAAACTCATGAAACTGCGCTGTTGTGGTGTGCTTCTTCAGATGTACGGCGTGTGTGTGTGTGTGTGTGTGTGTGTGTGTGTGTGTGTGTGTGTGTAGGGGGTGGTATTATTGCTCTTCCCTTACCACACCCTCCTGCTGACCTTGAGCTTGTTCCCACCTCTGCAGAGCAGGGGGGATGGGAAGGCTGCAGGACTCAGTACCAGAGTTCTTGACCCCTGGGGTAAGCTAGAAAACCATCTGATCCAAACCGCTCATAATTTGAAGAGTGAAGACGACTCGGCCTCTGGCCTTCCCTCTTCCCCCATAAGTCATGTTCTGTGGGTGTCAGGGGAACTCTCTCCCCTCCATCTTCCCATAAGGACCCCAGCCCTAGTAGCAGGCTACCCCGTGGAGTTTGGAATTCATGAAGAGGAGGGGTCCTGGGTGTCTGCCCCTCACTGCAGAACTGCCCAGCAGAGAGCAATCACTGCTCTACCCTGGCTCTGACTCCTAGCCCGCCCCCTGTCCTCTCTCTGCTTCCCTTTGCTCCCCGGTCCTCTCTGATGTCACTTCCTCTGCTGTTTTACACACACACACACACACACACACACACACACACACACACGCAGGCTCTTGGCAGCCCCCGGCTGAGGCAGCCTAGCCAGTGCTCAGGTAGAAAGGAGGCAGTCATCAGGAGGGCACTTAGCTGGGGCTTGGGCTCCCTGAAAATGCCCTGCCTGGTCCTTTCTAGTTATGACAGGAATGGGAGGGAGTGAGCAGAGGTAGGAAGGGGCAGCCTGGGATCCGCAGCAGGCTGTCTGGCAGAGACCTAGAGTACAGAGCGTGCAGGCCCCCAAGCTTTCCAGCCCAAACCCCATCACAACACTAGCTGTGGCTACACGGAGAATCACGTTCCTGCCTGCCCACCCCACACATCACCTGGGGGCTCTTAAAGGTGCCGACTCCTGGAGGGTGACAGAGGCCCCGAGATTGAAGCCCCAGCACCCACATAGGAGGCTACAAGCTTCTAAAGCAAGCAGGAGCGCCTGAGTTCAATCCCTAAAACACATAAATGTCAGGTGTGGTGACATGCCCTTACAATCCCAGACCTAGGACAGCAGACCCCGGCGGATTCCTGGGGCTCAGTGAACACCCGTCCTAGCCTACCTAACCGGTAGGCCAATGAGAGACCTTGTCCAGAGGAGGCCCAAAGCACCCTGAGGATGACATCCCTCCACTGTGCATGTGCATACATGTACACACAAAACACAAACATGCTCACACGCCAAAGCATGCACAGCAGTTAAAGGCTAGGCTCCTCAAGGCCGTCCTGGCTAGTCCGACTCAAACCTGTCAGAATGGGAGTCTTCCTTCTACTCTGGGTGACTCGAATGTTCAGCCAGGGCTGGGAAGGGCTGACTGGCTATAGGGGGCTGGGAAATTTGCCCCCAAACGGTTCCAGGCATGATGCCCGGACAGTGCAGCTGTCATGAGCAAGGCTTTGGGAGTTGATACTTAGCTTTCTTTGGAAAATGTTTCATACATGCTCACTGCTAAAGAGGGGCCTAGAGAAGTACAGAAAGCCCTTCCTGGGCGCTGGGAGCCTCTGCATGGCCGGAGAAGGGGCAGCGCTAGGCGGGAGCCCTGGTTGAGCCAGGGTCTGCAGCGTGGCTCAGCAGTTAAGAGCACTGCTGCTCTTGCGCAGGCTGGACGGGTCCCCAGCCCCCTTCGCAGTGGTTCACAGCCTGCAACCCCAGTTCCGGGGAGCCACTGCCGTCTTCTGTGGGGACCAGGCATGTACATGATACACAGGCATTCGCGCATACAGGGTCAGGTGAATGGGGCCCAGGTAACCTGCCAGGAGGGGAACACATGTGCCCACTCTCCTGAATCAAGGGTGGGACAGTGCTCTGCTCCAAGCTGTGTCTAAGCTATGACCTAAGGGACATACTTCCCCTCGCCACTATGAGTTGAGCCAGCTTACACTTGCAGGGGCCGATGATTTATCTGCCCTGGGAACCCACAGGACAGGACGCCCAGGTAGTACCTCTGTTTCCTTGTCCTGGAGGTAGGACCCAACATGGCGTGGGCGGCCAGGGGTCAGAGTGGAAGGGACAAGAATCGGGGCATCTCCAAGTTGTCACAAGGAAGCAGAGTCAGGTGACTCTTGCAGGGGAGGGACACCCAGGGGGATTCCACACCAGCCTGGGGAAGGGAGCACCAGGGAGCCGCACCTGAGGGGTGGGGCCTGCCCGATACTCCCTCACCTAGGTCAGTATTGACAAGGAGAAGGCTGGCAAGAGCATGGGAACCCCAAGTCCCTGAAAAGCTACAGGCTGGACCAGAAGTCAGTGGGATGAGGAACTTACCAGAAAGTGCCTGCAGGCAAGCCCCGCGCTCAGTCAGACCCCAAACTAACAGCTAAGGATTCGGATGGGTACGTCCTCGGGGTCGGTGGGGGTGGGGTGATAGCCACGCAGAGCCATAGGTGTCATGGCCACAAGGAGATGACCCAAACCACACCCCTAGGCAGGTCCTAGTCTGCCTGTCATGTCTCCTCAGGTCACAGACTGGGAGATGGGGATGGGCGTGTCTGTCTGGGCTAGGGTGCCCAGGCAGTGACTGTCACCTGGGTCCTAGGAACACAGGAAATTGTGAGGAGAAGGGCTTTTGGAGGAGCCTGTGTCTACCATTAAGCTGCTGGGGCTGGATTGTCTGAGGTGCCATGTACTTCCCAAACTGGGTGGCTGGAGGGGCATCACCCCTGGGGGGGGGGGGAGAAGACAGCTCATTTTTAAAAAAAAAAAAAGAAGGAAAGGAAGAAAACAGCACTCAGGAGGCAGAGGCAGGCGGATCTCTGTGAGTTCGAGGCCAGCCTGGTCTAAAGAGCTAGTTCCAGGACAGGCTCCAAAGCAACAGAGAAGCCCTAAACAAAAAAGCAACAAAAAAAGCCTGCAGTACCTAAGGTCAGTCACCAGGGAGTGCTAGAGTAAGGGCAGGGACCAACTGTGTAGAAAATTTCATGCCCTGTTTCTTCCATACAGAGTGCACACCTGCTTACACACACACACACACACACACACACACACACACCATACCCATGGCACCAGGCACAAGCCACAGCAACATACAAGTCAGCCGCCACCCTAGAAGACTCACAGGGTCGTGACCTCAAGAGGCCCACATTCCACCTGGGCCTACACATCCTAGAAAAGGGTCCAACCAACCGAGTCCCAGCACAGGCCAGTGAGCGAGCGAGCGAGTGAGCGGGTGAGTGAATGAGCGAGCGAGTGAGCGAGTAAAGATGCTTGAGGTGGAGCCTAATAACTTGAGTTTGGCCCATTGGGGCCAAACAGTAGAACACACACACCCCATAATAAAGAATAAATAAATCAAAGCCCCTCTGGCTGCTGTGTGAGAGAGAAGATACAGGGCCAGGAAGGCCAAGACACAGAGTGTGACTCACGTCACCGTCTGGTCAAAGCCGGCTCCCAGAGCAGGGCAGTGGCCAGTTCAGCCCAGACTGAGTCTAGGTGTGGGGACAGGGCATGAGAAGGGGGCAGGGGAGACCCCAGGGGTCCCAGTGCTGGAACTTTGGGCCTGGAACTTGGAAGAGAAGTAGCAAATCGAGAGGGCCTGAGGCCCGGGCGGTGCCTGCTGACTTTTCTAGATCTCAAAGAGACAGAAGAAGGGGAAGGTGGTGACAGAACCAGCCGCCACCGGGAACACGGCCGTGTGGGGACAGGGACCGGCAGAGCGGTAAGAAGGAAGTGGGAAGGGGCAGGGACACAGGAGGAGGAGGAGGGACAGGACGGGCAAGCCATGCCCAGGCGAGCCTAACACGGAGAGCGGGTGCCGTGACACAGGGGCCCCTCACACACAGGTTAAATATGCCCGCCATGGTGGGACACATCGGTGATCCCAACGCTCAGGAGACTGAGGCAGGAGGATTGTGAGTCCCGGGACAGCCTGGGCTACACATCGTGACCCTGTCTGACCAAATGAAGCCAAATAAATCTTGTACACACTAGCCGCTGGGCACAGGGTGACCTGGGGTTCCTGGACTGTCCTCTCCTGTTACATGGGACTGTGTAGGTACAGATGTCACTCCAGAATGGGGTCTTTTGGACAAGTTGGCAGGCTGTAGCCATGTCTGGGGGGGGGTGGAGGGTACGCGCTAGCTGGACCTTGTCTGGGCCTGAGGCTTCCACAGGCAGAAGGTAGAGGCTGTGTCCTGGGCATGTCTACAGGGTTTTATTTTCAGCATCTCATACCCTGCCACCAGGAGAAGTCACAGAGGGGCAGCCAGGGTGTTGCTGCAGACTCTACTGGTCTCTCCCACGATGGGTAGATGGGTATCAGGGCTCCCTGGGGAGAGCTCTGCTGGGCAGCCAACCCCGGGGTGGGGGTGAGGAGTGGGGGATGCCAGGAGGCAGCCCCGGCCATTTCTTTCACATCCTAAAGTGACCTTGATAATACAGATTCACCACAGTGGCCTGGATCCAAAAAGACCCCTTCCACCCTGGCCCCCCAGGGGGAGCAATTGCCCAACTGAGCTCCACCCCTCACCTTCTCTGCCCACTGGTACCCAAGAAGTTAGTCTACCAGGCCCCGAGAAGGGGGCTGGCTCCAGCCGGCTTGGTCACTGTGTATGGACTAAGTCTGAATACCCAGTCCGTGTTGCTCAGAGCACTGGGGTGTGTCCTGCGAGGCAGGAGCTGGGATTGAGTTACAGTTGGGAGGGAGGGGCGTGGGTAGAGCCTGGCCAGGCTCATGCTGGCCAGAGCAGGGTGAAGGAAGGTGCAGAGCAGTTCCCAGAAGGTAGGCCTGGGCTGGAGGGGCGCCTTGGGAACCAGCTGGGGTTAGAGGGGCTTCTCAGAACGGTGGGGGCTCGGCGGCCCGGGACTGGGGTCACACAGAAGGGCTGAAGGCTGGCAGAATTGAGGCAGCCCTGGGGTGTGAAGGCCCTGGGGTGTGAGGAGGGCCACTGTGGCAAGCCGGCGTGACGGGGGGGGGGGCAGATTTTGCATGTGGGTGGGGTCGCTGTCAGTTTTCCTAACGCCCTACCCCTCCAGCAGGCTGTGCCCTCCCTCTTGGAAGTTAAGCAAAGAAATATCAGGGTTTATCCTCAGGTGCCCAAGGAGGAAGGAAGAGGGAGCAGGCCGGGGGGGGGCACCTGAGGAGGAGGGGACTGGGAGTGAGCGGTGCCCCAGGGAGCTTTTGCCGGGGAGGGGGTCAGAGGGCATGGGATGACTGCCCCTCTGAGGAGGTGCTGGAAAGGGAAGGGGACACCCGGGGTGGGGGCTTGTGGACCACAGGTGGCCCTCTGGGAAAATAGGGAATCTTTGGGGAAGGCACCTGGAGGAAACACAGGGTGTTGTGGAATGAAGGGGTGTCTCCCTCACCTGCCCTAGCAACAGGGGTGGGGTTCAGCCCCAGGCTGGGGGACGGGGGGCTTCCCAGTCACCCTTGGGATGCTGCTGCCCCCCCCCCACTGAAGTCAGCTTCGACACTACTTCCGGCTGCCGATCTGCCCTTACTCTCCTCTGTGGCCAAGGTTGGGCTGTGATCTTCCCACCTCACTGTGGCCCTTACAGTTACATGAGCTACACACCTTCTGCTGTCATCTGCCTGTGCCTCAGGGCTCTGCCTGTCCGGGTCCCTGGACACTCCTGCATGTGAACTCAGTGTCTTTGCTGACGGGTCCTGTTGCGCATCACCTACCCACCGTGGTGTGGTGTACCATCCCATTTTCTGTTGCTGGAGATGACCACTGTGCCTATCTGTCATTGTGTCATTGGCTCTTGATGACTACAAGAACTGGAGGAGCTGTTAGCATGCCTGGCGAATCCCTTCTGCACGTGACGTAGCCAAGCCTCGGCCAGCCGTCAACTATCTATGGATTGGTCCTGCTCCACATTGGGAGACCCAAACCTGGACACGATTTCCCCGGGGGTGGTAGGAGAGGCTGGCACTGTATTCTACACAGCCTCCACTGGGATGCCTCAACACGGACAGCCCCCTGCCCCACCTCTTTCCGGGATGTCTGGTCCTGAGCCCAGCCCTCCGGGGCCCTAGGCAAAGGAATTTAAAAGGTGAGCACCGTCACCGATGGGTCTGTAACTCTCTTACCTCACCGTGTGTCATCCCCCGTCTGCCCCCGTCACACAGGGCAGAAGATCCTAGAGTATTCTTGCTGTTGGTGGGGTAGGTCCATTCAAAAGTAAGGAAGCTACAGCTGCTCCAGGCAACCCATGGGAGAGACTTGGAACCCAGTGACTATGTCCGCCTGTGGAGCAGCAGTGAGGAGAGGCAGCCAGCAAGACTTCAGTTAGGTGTGGAGGGTTACACAAGCTTCTCCTACATGCCTGTAGAACCCACGACTGTTTGCAGTTTGCAAAGCTGTGGTGCAGGGAAGCCGTGGGTATGCGAGAGGACAGAGCCCCGTCTCCACAGGCCTCTGTACTGTCCCTTCTCTCCAGACTCAGAATTACAGCGTGGACCCATCACGCTCACTGCCTGTTTGCAGAGCCCGTCTGTATATTCAGCCACCTCTCAAGGCCAGCTCGGGCAAACATGCTTCATTGGCCCAACCTTCTCGGTCACCTGAGCCTGTCTCTTGCTGCAGAATTTGTCACAGTCATGTGTAGAGTCTCTGTCCTGAGTAGACAGAAGGTTTGTCTTGTTGGTAATACCTGTTTTCATTCTAGCTGACTCTCCAGTTTCCCTCACTCCCTGTGTGTAAGATTTGCTTTTATTCTGGACATGCATGCAGCCTGTCCTGGCTACGGAGCACCTCTGTCTAGGTGTCTGCCCACAAAGGTTTCTCTGCTTATAGTTCCTGACCCGGTCTAGGGACAACTGTTTCCTCCACGGTAATATTATCAGAACTTTGGCGGTCAGGGCTTAATCCCTGAGGGTCCTGCAAGCTAGGCTCAGCCACCCTTACTCACCAGGCTAACCAAACGGATAATAACAGATGGCAGAGAAAGGAAATTTAACCAGTGTGGCTACATTGAGAAGAGGAACAAATAGAGTCCTGTGACCGCCCCCTCACAAAGTCCTGCTGTGAGGGTTAGGGTTAAATGGAGGACACAGGAGTGTGTGAGTGAGTCCTGTTCAAAGGGAGGTCCGTCTGTCACTGTCTTTGTTCTGTTTGCTCCAGTCTGTCCTGACAAGTTGTCAGAACTGTGTAAAACCTCTCTTTGAGAGACAAGCCCTTCCTCAAGCTGGCCTTCATCCTTTCCCTCTAGAAGGCAATTCCCGAGGTCATGCCGATTGGCAGAGGTGAGGGGGGGGGTCCACCAATAGGGTGGGACACAAGCAACCCTCTGGAACCCTTCACGTTTGCAGGGTGGCTAGTGTGTGTCTGTCTGTGGCCAGATGGTGGGGCCTTCTCCTCCCACTTTGGAACCAGGTTCTGTCTAGCTATGCTCTGCGGAGCCTGATTCTCACACATGATCCTGTGATCCTTCCCTTCTTGCACAGACCGACCTGGGTAGAAACTGCTTCAGCTTGTTCAGTGGACAGTTTCTCACAGACGGGGCTTGCGTTTGTCTGGGAACACCATGTGCTCCTGCACAGAAGTCGCCCTGTTTGCAAAGCCCCTGATTCTGTACACTGCTGTTTGTCGTGGACCCGTGCACAGGGCTTGTCCCTACTGACAGAGCCTCTACAGTTTGCGAACTGACCATTTTCAGGACCTAGGGTTCCCTATAGAACCCAGGCCTACTTCATAATCCTGCCTGTGTCCACGGTGAATGTGCTTACACACAGCACTGGCTTGCCAGTGACTCAGCCCGCAGTCCCACGCGTCTCTGGAGAAGTCGACGCCATCGACAGAACCAGTCTGTGGATCCTCTGCAGGCCTCAAAGCCTCAACTCTTGGGCAGACTCCCTGACCCGGCCACAGAATGGGAGTCTCTACAGAGCTGAAATCTCTTTGCAAGGGCCTGCAGTGGGTTCCCTAACCTGTTGACATTGTCTGTCTGCTGGAGCTGTCCTGCATAGGAAGCTCCGGTGCGTCCTTAGAGCTTTTCCAGGCTTTAAGAGTCTGCCTCTGACTGGGGAGCCTTTCCGTGGCCACAGGTGCAGCTCCTGCCGGCAGAGCCTCGTGCATTCATTGACGTGCTTCTCCATAGCTTCGGATGCTGCCCCTTCAACCCAGTCCCTTCTTATCCACATTAGCGCAGCCTTCCTTCCCCAGGCTGCGGAGCTCCTGTGTTTGCAGAGCCTTACTCAGCTTCCAGTCTTTGTTTGCCAAGCTTGCTTAACCTTTCCTGGGTAGTGCCGGGGTCTCTCCAGAGCTATCCTTGTATACATGGAGGGCCCCTGTTTGAAGAACTCGTTTCTCTCTGGAGACTTAAAGTTGTTCAATGCTTCACCAGCCTGCGGAAGGTACGCCTGTTTGTGAAGCCCCTATCTACACAGCCTGCCACACTGTGCAAACCCTGTGTCTATTTTTATGTTCCTTTCTAACTTTGTCAGACCTTTGTGTAGTTGCTGCCCTTTCTTTGAGGTCAGAACCTGTCTTTCTATACAACATTGAGCCCCATTTCAAGAATTCACCCCTATTTGCTGGGTCTTTCCCTTCGGACTGGATTAGTTCCTTTAGTAAGAGTCTAATTTACCACTCTCTGCAATGACTGTCCCTGAGTCTGCAGACCCTGGGTATGTCTAAAAGCTGCATGTGTGTTTCTTTTTCCTTTTGATTCTTTAGACAAGGTCTTCTGTAACTCAGCCTCGCCTCAATTCACTCTAGCTCAGGAGGACCCTGAACCATGTACCACCATGGCAGGTTCTGTGTGGTACCAGGGGTCAAACCCAGGGTTTCATCCATGCTAGGCAAGCTCTCTGCCGACTGAGCTACACCTCCAGCCCTTTGTGGCCAGTTTCTAGCTCTCTGTGTACAGATGGCACTCCTGTCCAGAGAGCTCTGCCCAGGGTGCAGTATTCCCACAGACAAACGGGGTCCCTGTAAGCCGTCACTGCGCCTGTCCTGGTTCCCTGAGTTTGCATATTTAACGAAGGTTACATTCTATCATGAAGACACTTTGGAGAGTTTTAGGTGGTTCGAGAACTCTTGCTTGGAGCCTGTAACGCGGTGGCCAGAGGTTGGCTTCCCATGTTTACATCTCGGTCACTCTCGCCTAGCCTAGGATGGACACCAACCAGGACCTCCCAGCCATCGACTGCCGAAGAGCCCTCCAAATCTGGGTTACTGAGGTGAGGGGCAAGGCCAGATAGCACAGCCTGGGACATGGAACAATGTCACCATGTCTCCCATCCCCCATCTAGAGCTCCTTCCTCCACCCTGTCTCTGGGAGTCATAGGCAGAGCCCCCTAATTTGTTACTTGGCAACCTCTTCTCTCAGAACCTAATGATGCTACCACTGCCTGAAAGGGTTCATGGGAATTTCTCTGAGGAATGCTGCTATGTCATCCTCCATGTGAGTCTCTTGGGGGTCTTTCTGGGGGTGGGGAGGTAGCCCAGAGCTGAAGAAACTCAGGCCTGGAAATGAACTCTGTCTTCAGATCAAAAGCCCCCACCACATTCCACCCACAAGGGGCTGCTGCCTTTTGAGGCCTTCTAGTCCACATTTCCCCTCATAGCCTCTGTCCGAGCTCCTGTGCACTGGCCCCACCTCATCCTCCAGCTGAAGCAGGGCCCCTTCCCCTTCCATGCACACAAACGCCTGGACCCTAGGTCCCTCAGAGCCCAAAGCCTGCCCGGGGAGGGTCCAGCGACCTGCACTACTGGATCGGAAAGGAGGCCAGCACAGAGACCCAGGTGGCCGCAGCCACCTTTGTGCAGAGCCTGCAGGAGGATCTAGGAGACCGGACGGTGCTGCACCAAGAGGTACAGGGCCATGAGTCTGACTGCTTCCACAGTTATTCCCACCCTGGAGTCATGTGAATGCTGAGAGAGCTGGGGACAGGGAGAGGGGACGCAGTGCGGGGAGGGTAACACAGCCACCCTGAGATAATGGCTTTCCTTGACTGAATAGCGTGCGCGCGCGCGCGCGCGCGTGTGTGTGTGTGTGTGTGTGTGTGTACACATATGTGTGTGTACTTTGTTAAGATATGTAAGCTCACATACATTGCACCCATCTCAAGCACACAATTCAGTGGTTTAAGATATGCAAGCACCATGCAGTAGTGGTTGATCCCAGCACTCAGGAGGCAGAGGCAGACAGATCTCTGTGAGTTCGAGGCCAGCCTGGTCTACAGAGTTAGTTCCAGGACAGGCTCCAAAACCACACAGAAGGAGACAGGAGACCCTGTCTCCAAAAAAATAAAAGAAAAAGAAATAGAGGAAGGAAGGAAAGAAGAAAGAAAGAAAGGCAGGGAGGGAGGCAGGGAGGGGGGAGGGAGGGAGGGAGGGAGGCAGGGAGGGAGGAAGAAAGATCCACCCACACTGTGACGTGTATTACTACTTGACTTTACTCTGCTGTGAGATATTGGCCATTGAATGGCTCTACCATATGGTATCAGTTCAAAACTGGGGGCACAGGGACATGTGTACTGTTGCTGCGTTGGGGTGTCACCAATAGTACCACTGTGAATGTTTCTGGGGCGGCTGTTGTCATTGATCTCGGTCTGTCCCTGGGAGTGGGAACCTGCGCTATCCAGTTTGTTCTCCGTGCTGGTACAAGTGTCTCTTTTACTTTTGCTTCAGGGTTTGCTGTTTTGTTTACTTTTTGTTGTGGTTTTTCAAGACAGGGTTTCTCTATGTAGCCCTGGCTGTCCTGCAACTCTCTCTGTAGACCAGGATGGCCTCAAATTCACAGAGATCTGCCTGCGTCTGCTTCCCAAAAGCTGGGATTAAAGGCGTGTGCCATCACCACCCAGCATTCAAGGGTTTTTTTTGGTTTTGCTTTTTTTTTTTTTTTTTTTTTTTTTTGGAGACAGGGTTTCTCTGTAGGTTTGTAGCCTGTGCTGGAACTCTCTTTGAAGACCAGCCTGGCCTTGAAGTCACAAAGACCCTCCTGCCTCTGCCTCCTATATGCTAGGATTTAAAGCGTGTGCCACCACCGCCGGGCTCAAGTATTTTTTTTAAATTGTCATATTTTTTAGAATGAAATGGTTGACCTAATTGCTAATATTAAATCATTTTTGCTTCATATCACTGGGTTGAATATTTGTATACAGTGCAGATAAGTCTGTGTGTATATGAAAAAATACATGCCACCCCATGCATGTCCCATAGATGGGCATGCATACCTGAATATCTATATCCACCACACAGATATGCCCTTCCATGTACTCACATCTAGTCTCTCCTGGATAAGATGTATGTATGAAATCCTCAATAACCCCAGGCTACACAGTTGTACATGCTAACAAGCAATGCACTCTTGTGCCTCATGTACTCACACATACACATGCTCACATGTCTTCAAACACGTGTTACACAGACACATTTCATCCCCACGCATACTCACACACACACACACACACACACACGCATTTGCTCACTCCCACACCCATTCCTTCATGAGGTGTGTTATCACTCACGGGTCCCTAACCCTTCCTCAGCTGCAGGAAGGGAGGCCGGGCCCCTGCTCTCAAGCGCCTGGAGACCAGCATGTTCAATGTCCAGCAGCTGCTCCACATCAGAGGAAGGAAGCATGTGTCGGCCACTGAGGTGAGGCCACGGGGCACGGTCTGGCCTCCAGACTCACGCAGGCTGAGAAAGAGCAGGGGTTGGTGGCGAAGGAGGGGAGGGCGCCGAACAATGAGCTACACCTCCCGGGATGGCCGCCTCACTAAGTGAAGACACACGAGGCAGCCTGGGCTTCCTGGCCCCACCTCTACGCCGCTGCTGGCCCCAGTCTTTCCCCACGGCTCCTGTCTCGTGGCCGCTTCAAGAGGAGGCAGAAACAGCGGTGCACTGGGCCCTGTTGGGGGTGTGCATAGCCTCACACTTTCCCTCACGCCATCGTCGTCACACCCAGACAGGCACCCACACTGTCTACCGGTCATCCTTGGATGACGCCCCTTTCTCCAGCCCAGGCAATGCCCCTTCATAAATTAACACAAAGCGCCCTTTTACACGCCAGGGAGTTGATAGAGGAGCAACACGCTCTGCCTGTGGGAGGGTTTGATGCAATGGGCATCCATCTACAGCGAGGATGGCGGCCCTCCATTTATACATCCACAGTCAACCAAAGCTCGTGGCAGCCCCGTGACGCACACGGTCCTTCCCACAGTTTGCACCTTCAGCCAGCAGAATCTGGTTATGTGGGGATGGACATTATGTGGCCCTCGCTTTTTCCCATTATGCCCTTGTGATCATTTAGTGTCCTCAAAATGTGTTTCGGTAACTATCCTTATGCTCCGTTGCATACCGTCACTACACAGACACATACATACTGTCACCACGAGCACACACTTTTGTTCAGATGTGATGTGTCCCATATATGTACATGTATATGTTCATACAGAGATAAGCAACTATTTGCCCCACTTCTGGATAACCACATGGAGGGTCACGTGTGGCTACGAAATGCAAGCGTGAATGCTGTGACGGATGCTGTCTCTCGCTCACGCACACACAACGGCACCCAGCCTCATGCATACAAGGGACACCCTCTCCTCCTGCCCTCTCCCCTGCCTGTGGTGCTGGTGCCTTTTCCTTCCACACCTCTCTCCTGGCTCTGGAAGGTGGCCCTGTCCTGGAACAGCTTCAATAGAGGGGCATCTTCCTGTTGGACCTGGGCAAGGTGATGATTCAGTGGAATGGACCCCAAACCAGCATTTCTGAGAAATCGCAGGTCAGTGCCTGCCCTAAGAGCTGGGAGGATGGGGCTTGAGGGGAGGTAGCCCTCCAAGTGTCCAGCATCTGGCCACCCCAGGAGGTAGCTGGGCCCTCTGTCTCAATCCAACAGGCATCCATTGGGCACAGGCTAAGTTCGAACGTGCCACTGGCGGTAGACCTGGGACCCTTGGAATGGCGGGATACCAGCTTTCCTGCTCCTATCCCCATGCCTATGGGCACCACGCAGGGATAAGAAAGACCTGGGCTGGGCTGTGCGTGGAAGCCCTGAGCCCTGGGTCCTCTCCTGCAGGCGCTAGCCCTGACTTGCAACCTCAGGGACAGAGAACGTGGCGGCCGTGCCCATATTGGTGTGGTGGATGACGAGCATGAAGCCACCGACCTCATGTACATCATGGAGGCCGTGCTTGGCTGCAGAGCAGGCAGCCTGAGTGCTTCTGTGCCCAGCAACGGTGTTAGCCAGCAGCAGAAGGCCAATGTCCGTCTTTACCTGTGAGCAGGACTGGGGAGGGCATGGGGAGAGCGAGGGGCCGCAACTGTGTGCCTGTTACTGAAACAACACAGCATCTCTGCAAACAAACCTCTAGTAAAAGCACGGAGGTCTCTGGGTAGGCTGTGTGGGGTGTTGGGCCTGCATGATAGGCAGTCCTGTATGGTGTGTGGTAATGTCAGCGAGAGGCCCATAGTACATACAGATGGGGAGACAGGGGGGGAGGGGCTGTGAGGGTCAAGGAGCCACCTAAGCCCCAAGCAGGGGCACAATAATTGAGTTCACCCAGAGGAGTTCAAGGGCTCTGGGATGGCATCAGGCCAGGAAAAGGCTGGCAGTCCACATCTGGATGCCTGTCCCCCAGTGTCAGCGAGAAGGGACCCGACCTGGTAGTCCAAGAACTGTCGACCGACCGGCCCACTGACCCCTCAGGACCTCCTGCAAGATGAAGTAAGGAAAGCCTGTACCTAGTGCCCCTCCCCCCTCCTCACAACCACAGTCCCTGCTGACCAGACTCACACTTCTTCCTAGGGCTGTTATCTCCTGGACCAGGGTGGCTTCGAGGTCTACATGTGGACGAAAGCGCAGCCCCCAGGACAAGAAGGCTGAGTTCAGCAGGGCTGTGCTGAGGTCCTGGGCCCCTGCAGGGAGGCAAGACAGATCTGGTACAGGACGTCCTGCCTGGGGTCTAAGGAGAGCAATGTCTGTTATCCTGGGGTCGGGAAGTGAGTGTGTCTGCCCTGGGAACCTTGCATGGGAGGGCACATTCCTAACACCCAAGACATCAGGCGTGCAGGACTTGGCCTGGCCTTGAGGCCTGAGAGCCTTCAGCGCGGGGAAGGGGAAGCAGAGGAGGTTTGTGGGACTTCAGGGTGGCCAGCTCTTCACCAGGCTTGGATTAAGGGGACCCTGCCTACCCTCAGAGAATCAGTAGTGAGGGAGGCAGCTTGTTAAATGGGTTCCAGTTTAGTTCACTAATGCAGCTCAGAGCTTGGCTGTCCTGGTAGCCACAGCTGGGGGGGGGCGGGGAGGGGGCGGCGATCTGGGGGCTAGAATACAGCCTAGAGCCCTTGATCCACAGGCAGGCCTGCCTGACAGAGCCGTGTCCCAGGGCTTCATCCGGGCCAAGGGCTACCCAAACTACACCAACGTGGAGGTGGTCAATGCCCACCGCCTTCCGGCAGCTGTTCCAGACGTGGTCGAAGGAGCTAGATGGGAAAAAACACAGAGGGAAAAATGAGTAAGGTAGGGGTGCAGGGGTGTAGCCTGAGGGGCGGGGGACGTAAGGGAGCAGTGCAGGGGTGTAGCCTGGGGGGCGGGGGGACGTAAGGGAGCAGTGCAGGGGTGTAGCCTGGGGGCGGGGGACGTAAGGGGAGCGGTGCAGGGGTGTAGCCTGGGGGCGGGGGACGTAAGGGGAGCGGTGCAGGGGTGTAGCCTGAGGGGCGGGGGACGTAAGGGGAGCGGTGCAGGGGTGTAGCCTGAGGGGCGGGGGACGTAAGGGAGCGGTGCAGGGGTGTAGCCTGGGGGGCGGGGGATGTAAGGGAGCGGTGCAGGGGTGTAGCCTGAGGGGCGGGGGACGTAAGGGCAGGGGTGCAGGGGTGTAGCCTGGGGGGCGGGGGATGTAAGGGAGCGGTGCAGGGGTGTAGCCTGGGGGGCGGGGGACGTAAGGGAGCGGTGCAGGGGTGTAGCCTGGGGGGCGGGGGATGTAAGGGAGCGGTGCAGGGGTGTAGCCTGGGGGGGCAGGGGACGTAAGGGAGCGGTGCAGGGGTGTAGCCTGGGGGTGGGGTACCTGCAAGGGACAGAGGCTGCTCGGGGTGCTTAAGCCAGGAGAGGGTGGAACCGCAGGTCAGGACCGCAGCTGCAGGGGTGAGGACCAGAAGGAAGAGGGCGTGCCCAGAGCCTACGAGATGGGCAGGCGTGAGTGGGCCCACCGGGTCCCTGACACACATGCAGGTAAACTGACGCAGGCAAAGCTGGACGGAGGAAGCTGCACACCCAGCCTGAGATGGTGGATGACGGCTCTGGGAAGGTGGAGGTGAGGGCGTGGAGGGGGTAGTGGGAACGCTGACTGGGGTGAAGGTGATGGGTCATGCCTGTAAACCCAGCACTCCGCATGCTTACCAGGAGCTCAAGGCCACGGTGAGCTGCGTGAGACGCTGTCTCAACAACTGAACCGAGCCAGGGACAGGTGGGCGCCCCACCCATGTGCAGCCGCACGCCCACCCTCCAACAGCTGGCTGGCTCACACAGTACAGACACACAACCTGACAACACCTGGACAATGACCAGCACAGGAGCACCAAATCCCCGCCCCGAACACACGCAGCCCCTAACACACTGTCATGGACCCCTCATCTGGCCTCAGACCAGCCTTCTCATTCTGACTAACCTATTGGGCCATTAAGGCAGAGCCCTTAGTTCCCTCAAGTCCGTAAGATGGAGGTAGGAGACATGATCCAGTCTGGTCCCCCAAGCTAATGTGGGGTGCTGTGAGCCTAACGGAACAAGCCTGTGTGCGTGGGTGAGTGGGGGCGAGAGCCTAAATTCGGTAGGTAAGCCGAGGTCAGAGAAAGCAGATGCTCTGCCTACATTTGCCCTTGTGTGTGTAGCCAGAAGTGAGGGCTGAGAAGAGACGGGAACCCTGGAGAAGCAGGGAGTGAGGGGAGACAGAAGAGACAGGGAAATGGAGGGAACCCAAGGGAGGCGGACTGGGTGAAGAGAGCAAGAAGGTGAGGAGGATGGCGAGCAAGCCAAGAAAGGGTGTCTGGTCAGCTCCAGCACGAAGGCCAGGGGCCTGGGGAGGAGGGGGCTGGCTCCCAGGGGAGGAGGGGGCTGGCTCCCAGGGGAGGAGGGGGCTGGCTCCCAGGGGAGGAGGGGGCTGGGGAGGAGGGGGCTGGCTCCCAGGGGAGGAGGGGGCTGGGGAGGAGGGGGCTGGCTCCCAGGGGAGGAGGGGCCTGGGGAGGAGGGGGCTGGCTCCCAGGGGAGGAGGGGCCTGGGGAGGAGGGGGCTGGCTCCCAGGGGAGGAGGGGGCTGGGGAGGAGGGGGCTGGCTCCCAGGGGAGGAGGGGGCTGCCTCCCAGGGGAGGAGGGGGCTGCCTCCCAGGTGGTGTACCCTTGGGGAGGTTTGGTTCCTGGCAGCCTTTCAGAAAAGCCCGGGTTTCTGATGTCCTGGTCTAGAGGGCCGGACCCCTGGTGGGAAGGGCTGGGGCTTAGGATAGTCACGTGCCCACCTGCCCACACCTGGACTCCCTTCCGCCAGTTCTGTCAGGTTCTAAAGCTGAGGTGTGGCTCCCATAGCAACAAGCCATCGCTCAGACAAAAGTGAGCAAGGGCTGCCACTTCAGCCTTTGACTGGGCATTGGTTTCCTGGTTTTGTTTTGTTTTATTAGACGGGGTCTCACATGTCCCAAGCTGGCCTTGAACTCACTATCTGGTCAAGGCTGACCTTGAACTTCTCACTCTCCCGCCTCACGGCCCCACTGCCAGGATTACAGGTGGAATCTGGTTTGAGGGGCTCCAGGACTTACTGCACGATAGACAAGCACTCAGCCCACTGAAACGCATCAGGGCGTTTTTTTTGGTTCATTTAGGGGTTTGTTTGTGGGTTTTGTTGTTGTTAATGACACTTTAAAGGAGAAAGAAAATGTCTCTCCTCCAGCCTGGCTTCCATGCTCCTGCACTGAGCAGAGCATCTCTGTGACAGCAGGAGGGTTGCTGTCTGCCCCTGACCAGAGCTGTAACTGGTGGGGTCTAGACCGCGGTGTCCACGGGCCAGGAGCTGGACCCACCCTACAGCCTTTTAGTCTTCCACTTATTTTCCCCAGGTGCAGGATGCAGACTAAATCTGGGCTGAGAGCAGGCCAGCAAAGGCTTGGGGGTCCCGAGGTCCGTGGGGGAAGGGCCACTCACAGTCCAGCTTGGAGCATGGAAGGCACAGAGCTGGGCAAGCTTCTTGCTTGCCCAGACGAGCCAATGAGAGCTTTCCGGCTGGATGCAGGTGGGCAGGCCGCTGCAGGTAAGGTTCGTCTGTGCCCACAGGCTCCTCGTCCCTCAGGTTTGGTGATCCAGGACTTCCAAAGGCAGCCTGTGGACCCCAAGCACCACAGTCAGTTGTGCTCGGGAAACTGCTACCTTGTCCTCTACACATACCAGACGCTGGGCGGTGTCCAGTGCCTCCTGTACCTATGGCGGGTATGTCCACCTGTGGGGTGTCAGATGCCTTCCAGCTCAAGACCTAGACTCTGAGAATGGGAGAGGAAACCCCAGGCCCTGCTGCAGGGCCACCAGACCGCCACAGAAGACACCAAGGCCCTGAACGGCAATGCTGAGGAGTTGGACCTTGCATACCAGGGAAAGGGAACACTGGTACAGGCTCATGTGACCATGGGCAGAGAGCCCTCCACTTCCTAGCCATCTTCCAGGGCCGGCTGCTGGTCTTCCAGGTAGGGTCCACCTTTCATCCCTTTGACACGGGCTGGAGAGATGGCCCCGTTGCTAAGATGCTTGTCTTGCATGCCCGTGACTCCCAGGCCTACATGAAGACTCTGGGTGTGACACTACACGCTTGTCACCCTGGACCTGGGGAAGTCAAGACAGGAGGATGCCTGGGGCTCAATGGCTAACCTGATTGGCGAGCTCCAGGCCAATGAACGGCCTTATCTCAGAGGAGGGGCCTTCAGGAGCACGCATGCATATGTACACACACATACCAGTAATAGTAATAATCTAACATAAGCCACTCCGGGAAGGAAGGATTCATTCTGGGTGCGTTCCAGAGGTCCCATTTCCCTGGCTCTTTGTGACTCTGTGCCTTAGGTGAGATGTCGCACCATGGTGGCAGGCAGGTGCTCTGGGCCCTCTGAGATGTGCGACAAGTCTAATTTGAAAGGGCCTGTTTTATTGTCCCACGCGGACAGGGCTGGCACAGTCCACACTCAAAGGGCCAGAGGACAGTGGTAGCCTTAGCTCTGAAGCAGTTTGTTCACCACTAGGACAGGGAGGGGGCCCTAGTGTTAGCCTGAGGCCCCGCCTCCTTCCAGGGGAGTGCAGGCCACGGGGGGGGGGGGGGGGGGGGGAAGGCCAGTGATCTCCAGCACAAGGCTGTTCCACACGCAAGGGTCTGACAGCCACAGCACCCGGGCAACGGAGGTGCCAGCCCGCGCTTCCTCCCTCACTTCCGGTGACATCTTCTTTCTGGTCACAACGGATGTGGGCTACCTCTGGTTTGGGAAGGTACCCGCGGGTCACCACTTGGGAAGGTGGTGGCTCTGGGTCAGAGATTGGTCCCCTCCACCCGAATGCGGCCTTGAAACCCAGTGGGGTGGTTCTGTGGGTGCTGTGGAGTAACCCAGGGAACTTACAAAGTCACGAGCCAGCGGACTGGGGTTCCTCAGGTCCCGGGCAAGCCTGGCTCTGGCTGCCTCCCCTCCTGCTTGGGGACTTTTCCCAAGTCTCTCTGGGAAAGGGGGAGGAGGTCTACTCTCATTTGCCTCTGGGTTTTGTTGTTTTCTCATCGTTAGCATAAACCACAACTGACCCCCCCCCCCAAGCCTGGGTGTCCCTCATTCACACTCTGGACCCAGAGAGAGTCATGGGGCCACCCCTGTGGCCTCCTCATCCACAGCTTAGGCCTCCCTAGGCTCAGGCCCAGTGGATGGACATGGGACTGGAGGCGAAGGTTTGCCTACTGCAGGGTTTGACCCAGCCTCTGCTTGCCAGGGCTGCGATGGGGACCAGCGTGAGATGGCCCGGATGGTGGCCACTGTCTTCGCAGGACACAACATGGAAACGGTGCTGGAGGGTCAGGAGCCTCCCCACTTCTGGGAAGCCCTGGGAGGCTGGGCCCCCTATCCCAGCAACAGGAGGTAACAGGATTACCGGAGGAAATGTTTATCTTGAGGAGGAACAGAGGCCAGCGGGTGGGTGACTAGTGAAGGGCCACACAGAAAGTTGGAAAGATAAGTCTAGAAGTGAGGGACTCTCAGTCCCCTATCTGCAGGATCACGGAGCAGAGTGCACCTTTAAGTCTTGGTAACTTAAAGGACAATGGGGACAATGCCAGGGCAACCGTGGAGAAACGGCGCCCTCTGCTGGCAGACTCCACTTCCTGCATTGCCTCTAAGGACAGTCCCCAAACCACGGGGTGAATAGGAGTTGAGAGCAGAGTAAGAACTCCAGGGCAGAAGGAGCTGCATCCCTTGGCCCTGCCATCCACCCAAGTCTCCTGGGCTCCCACGTAGCAGGCTGTCTTTGGGGCAATCGACCAGCTCCCAAGTCACGACACAGGAACTTAGTATTTGTTAGAAACGCTCGGCCTTATCTTAGCTCTTATTTTAATCTATTTATCTACATTTTTACCTCTGGGCTTTCTCTCCTTCCTTCCTTCTTCCCTCTCTCATTCTGTCATACTTCCTGCGTCTGTCTGTCCGTCTGTCTGTCTGCTGCCTGGCTTCTGGTCTCTCTCTCCTCTCTTTTCTCTCCTGAGCTTAGGTTTCTCCTCCTACACATTCTCTCAGCCCATCAACCTCGCCATCCCTCTCCTGCCTGCCGGTCAGTGTTTCACTAGCCAATCGGGTGCTTTATGCAGGTGAAACAAAAGCAGCCCGTATTTGCATAATTAAACAAACGTAACACATCCTTACATCGTTAACAAAGGCAGCAGAGCAAGCTTGACACATCCTCACACAGTTAAAGACCACAACACTCCCAGACTTGCTCCCTCCTTCCACCCTGGGCCTGAGGCTGGCTCCTGAGTGCAGGTGACTCCCATTCCGGGGAGGACAGGGCCTCAGCTCAGCAGGCCCAGTAGGTCTGGGATTCCCTTTCCGGGTGCACACCCAGACAAATCCGTGGAGCAGCTTGAAAGAAAGGGCCCAGAGCAGGCCGTCCTAGAGAAAGTCAACGGGTGGATGCCGTCCAGAGGAAGGTCCGGGGCAGCTGCCCCACAGAAGCCGCTTTCCCTGAGGGGTGGGGGCACCATGCCAAGGGCACCCTCCGACAGCCCTTCCTCTGCCCAGGCTTCCCGAAGAGGCCTCCAGCATCCAGCCCCGACTGTTTGAGTGCTCCAGCCCCTCAGGCTGCCTGGTCCTCACGGAAGTGGTGTTCTTCAGCCAAGAGGACTTGGACAAGTAGGACATCATGCTACTAGACGCCTGTCAGGAGGTGAGGCAGCCACGCCCGCTCGCTCGGCTGGACTGGGAATGCAGGGTGTGTCTGCACTGGTGTAGCTGGGTGTGAAGGTGAGTTTAGCCTGTGACTGATTGTTGCCATGGATTGAGAGTCTGGGTGTGACAGTTGGGTTGTGTGTGATTATGACTTTGCATGTCGTACGTAATGCCCTGTGTCCTATGATGCTATTGTACGAGGGCCTGTGGCTGACCGAACAGCAACAGCAGCGAGTAAAAAGACTGACTGGATGATAGTACAGTGTAATGCTATGAACCTGAATGTTTGACTGGGTAGCTACATCTGTGTGGTAGGCAGGCCATGCCAGGGACCATGTGGTCTGGTACTAAACAGAACTGGCCGGACCAATCGTAACTGGGACACTGCATGCACACATGTGTCTGTGTGAAAGGGAAAAAGGGAACATATGATTGGCTGTCGGTGTGGCTGAGCAATTGTATTTTTGAGTCTGTGAAATTCTCTGTGGTTAGGAGATGGCATATTTAACCAGCCAGGTATGCATGACAGGTAGCCAAATATGACCGTGTCTCTTTGCAAATATACTGTGATGACGGTGGATGGCATTATGTGGCTGTGACTGCCTACCTGGCCTTATGGCAACAGACAACATATGTCTCTGTAGCTGTGATGTTTGTGCCTGCATGTGTGTGTGACTGTGTGTCACCGTGTGTGTGTGTGACTGTGTGTCACCGTGTGTGTGTGTGTGTGTGTGTGTGTGTGTGTGTGTGTGACTGTGGTACTGTCTGAGTTCTGAGGAAGATGAGCTCTTATTCCACTCAGAGAAAACCCAAGCCAGACTACATCCCCCGCTTCCCCCCACTTCACAACCCACCCCATGACCTAGCCAGCCCCTCTCCAATCAGATCTCCCGACTCCACCTTGCTGGCCTTTTCCCAGCCATGGTGGCCTCTCGCTGTCCCCTGAGCATGCCAGGCACATCCCACCGTAAGGCCTTGGCACGGATTCTCCACTTTCTTTCGAGACGAACGTGTGGCTTGCTTTCCCATGAAGGCTCTGTGGGGGTGGAGATTTTTCTCAAATCTTTCTGTTTCTTTTGAGGCAGTCTCATACAGCCCAGAGTGACTTTGAGCTCACGATGAAACCTGAACCTTCCGGGATCTAGGATCCCAACTCCCAAGTGGGGGATTTCAGGCCTGCCCTACCCCCTCCTGTTCATGTGGGACTGGGGTCGACCCAGGACTTGGCTAAGCAAGCACTTTTATTGAAAAGTAACCACTCCCCCACCCAGGTCCTCCCTTTTGTTTGAGGCAGAGTCTTGTGTGGCCCAGGCTAGCCTCAGACTCCAGCCAGCACAATGCCTGCCTGGTGTAAGGGTGCTAACTTGGATTCTTTTCACAGTTGAGTTCTTAGTTCCTAGCACATGCTGGTGCTTCATAACTATTTATATTAGATGCATGTATGTATGCCTGTGACGGCCAGTGCTCGTGGGTGTGAGGGTATCACCACTTGCCGGGTGAGTTTTCTTGGCTGAGCATGTACATGTGGGGTTCTGACTGTCTGCGTAGGGAGGAGGTGGCTGAGGCAGGGGGCCCTTCCGCCTGTCCAAGCCCAGGCTTCCTCTGTGGCCCAGGTCTTCCTGTGGCTTGGGGAAGATGCCGGTGAATGGAAGAAGGAGGCAGTGGCCTGGGGCCATGAATACCTGAGAACTCACCCAGCGGAGAGGCTGGGCGCCCATCATTCTGGTCAAGCAGGGCTATGAGCCTTCCACATTCGCTGGGTGGTTTGTCACCTGGGACCCCTACAAGTGGACGGTGAGGCTTAACACCCGCCCTCATCTTCGCCTGCAGGGGGTGGAGGTGCTGGGAGAGGCCCTCCTGGGCCGAGGATCTCCCCCAGTCAGGAGAAACCTGATCTTGTCTTTTAGGCGCCTGCCTGGGTTTCGGGGAGCTCCTTCCCTTGCCAGTCCGGATAGTAGCCCCAACTCCCGCCCCCAGAACAGCCAGTCCTATGAGGAGGCGGTGGAGAGATGCCTGGGATCAGCGTCTGCCATCTCTGAGATAACAGCCGTTAAGTGCAGGGAACTTTCCCTGGCACCCGCAGATAGTGGTCTGAGTTCAGATGGGCCACAGGCAGAGGGGCCGGGGGTTCAGATAGTGCCAAGAGGCTGCGGGTGCAGTGTGATCTCTCGTGGATGCCTCTCCTCCATCTTCCGAACCATGAGGCTTCTCTCCGGACAGGAAGTACACAGCTTCCAGCTAACTCAATGGCCCAGGGATAATAATAAGGCAGGTCCCTCGACCCTACTGGCCTTCAAGGGTCCCCAGGACAGCCCAGAGAATGATCTGGAGCTGGGCCTCGGCGTTGATGGCAAAAGCCCCAGCAGAAGCTGCAGCAGCTCAGTGGTCAACGGGACTCTTGCACCAGGCGGTGGAGGACCTGCCACAGGGCGTGGACCCTGCCCGCAGGGAGGTGGGTACCACATGCTGCTGTTCCCGGCACTGGCCTGCGACCTAACTGCACACTGGACGGTCCCAGGGTACCCTGCCCCCACTAAAGACAGGCAGTGAGCAGAATGGATGGCACCTCTGGGTAGCACGGGAACCTGGGTTCCAGGGACCCCCCAGCCCTCCCCTACCCCCCACCCCCAGTTCTATCTCTCAGACTCTGACTTTGAAGACATCTTCGGGAAATCCAAGGAGGAGTTCTACAGCATGGCCAAGTGGAAACAGCAGCAAGAAAAAAAAAGAAACTGGGTCTCTTCTGAGCTGGGGGGGCCCTGAGTCCCCTCCTGGAATAACTCCCCCTTCTTAATAAGAGCCAGTGGCTGGTGTCAGGCGTGGCCTGCATGTCTTCAGACTGCGCTGTCTGGCAGCCCCTCCCTCAGCAGCAGGGCCCCGTGGCACTCTGGGACATGACCTCCTCCATGGAAAGGATCCCTTCAGACTGCTCACTCCAAATGACCCCATGATGGGAAGGGGTGAGCAGGAGGCCTTGAGGGATTCTCTGGTGTCTGTGTAAGATGACTGCAAGGCTTTATCTTGTGATTTTTCTTTTTTTATATATATATAAAAAAACTCACAACCTAAAGACAGCTTGAGGGCAGGGAGTGGGCTGAAGTGTTGTTCCTAACGGGACTTCGGGCCACTCCGGGGACCTGACTGCCCCCTGGGTCCCCAGAGAGGCAGAAGCACAGGCGGCCTGTTGTAGTTGAAGGCAGCTCAGGGCCGGGAGCTCCCATCAGAAGTCCATGCAACAGTGCCAGCCTTGCGTGAGGCGTGGACACAGCCTGGCCCACGCAGGGTGAGCCCCGCCCGATGCCCAGGCTTAGTCCTGGAGGGAGATCTTCACAAAGAGGGTGGCTGACGGATGCTGGTCTCCGTTCTTAGACAAGAGGTGGACGTGGCGGTACCCTGGTGGGAAGGGACAGTTCTGGTCACCGGGAGAGGATACTTAAGGTTCAGTGAGGGGCAGGCCGAGAGAAGCCAGGCCCTGCCCACTGCTCCTGGCTGGCCCCTTCCCTCCAACACTAACCCTGCTTGAGACTGTTCCAAGGGATGGTACTCTGGCCGATAAAGTCGTTCTTGGAGGAGGCATCGTAGTCCTCTACTACGAAGCGTACGAGAGCAAGGTCGGGCACGGCCACCTCAAACTCAAACTCCGTGTCCCACCGTGGGTTGAAACCTAGAAGGACAAACACCGTATCAGCAGCAAGGTCACAGGCGCAAGCAGCCTGGCCCAGCGCAGACAGCGCATACTTTACCATTATTGGTAATAACCGCAGTCTGACGGCTGGCCACGTCCCGTCCCACGCCGTGGATCTCCACTATCACCTTGGGGTCCACGATTGAATTCTTACTCCTGTTGACTTTTGGCAGCTGCTGCCCAGAGATGACCTAAGGAAAAGCAGGGACAATGAGCATCCAGGGATGGCAGTGAGTGAGCAGGAGGGATCCCCACAGGCAACCGTCCCTTCTGTATCTGGCCATACCCTGACACGGAGCCTCTTCCGAGACCACCAGGGCCCCTGAGTCAGGGCACGGGAGTTGAAGGTGGTGTCGGGGTCTCTCAGGAAGGCAGGTTTCAGCACATACCCACAGGCTCCGTTGTCCTGGAAGCGGCCCAGGTATACATCCATTTCTGGCCCAGGGGTTTGGAAGTTCAGAGCCACTATAGGTAGATTAGAGTAGTTGCAAGCTGTGGGCCGGCCCCAGAGTCCTGGAGCCCAGTCTGCTCAGAGTGCACTATAGTCTAGGTTCCTATGTGCATTGGGAGCTGACCCACTACCCTGATCATACACACACACACATTTGTGTGTATAACTGTTCACGTGAATGCGTGCATGTGTTTACACATATGTGGACAGCTTTCTCAACTGCCTTTTACTTTAATTTTTTGAGACAGGATCTCTACTGAACCCAGAGCTCACCAATTTATCTGGGCGGGCTGGCCACGAGCTCCGGAGAGCAGCCTGCCTCTGCCCGCTCAGTGTCGGGATTCACAGGTGCCTAAACAGATGCACTTCATCACTCCCCTTGCTTTACATGGGTAGGAATCCCAACGCAGGACCTCACACTTATATGACATTTTGCCGACCGAGTCGCCACCCCGCCCTGTTTTGTCGGGTTTTGAGGCAATGTCTCATATAGCCCAGGCTGACCTTGAACTAACTCACTGTGTAGCCAAGTAAGGCCTTGAGCTCCTAACCCACCCACCCTACCCATCCTCGAGTCCGCCTTGAAAGTGCTGAGATGACAGGTGTGATACCGCTCCCGTTCCCCGCTGTGCAGAGGATTGAACCTGGGACGCCATGCACGCCAGACGAGCACTTTCATAGCTGAACTACATTTCCATTTCTGACAGCAAAATGGAAAGGGCTGGAGCGTACACCAGACACAGACCTGCTGGCCGGGCAGTTCCCAAGCTCAGCTCTCGGTCTTCACCCAAACCTTCTCAGGCCCCCAGACCCTTCCCGTGACCTTCAGGGCTCTAGGCCCCTGGACAGCAAGGCTCTCCCTAACCTCCCCCCATCCCAGCTGGCCCGTACCGATCTGGCAGCCCCCATTCCACATCTCCACAGGACTGTAGTTGGAGGAGTCTGTTCTTCTCCCAGCTGGGTAAATCCTGCTCAGGTGGCTCACGTTATGGCGGACAAAATTATTTCCTGAGGATAGGTGGGGTCAAGTCATCAGTGAAAGCCGTGGTGGGTTGAAGACATCCCACTGCACGCCACCCCCCCCCTGCCCCACGGCCAGTTCTGCCCAGACATAGAGCAGGGAATGTCAACTGAGGACCCCTGCAAGGGTGAACTGGTCTTAACCAGTTCAGGCAGCCAGGGTGCTCACCTGATTCCTGAAGCAGCCGGAGGGCACGGTTCTCAGAGAAGGAAGCCATCTCATAGAATGCCTGCCCAGACGTGCTAGGATTGGAGAAGCCACCGAAGTGGACACTCTTGCAGTAAATGACCATGTCAGAGAGCTCCGGCGCCAGCTTTAGCTTATCCTCCTGGAGGCCACGAGGAGGCCCCGGTTAGAGCCAGAGGGTAGGGCAAGGTGGGCCCTGAGCACCAGAAACCCAGACAACAGAGAGAGAGAGAGACAGACAAACAGACAGAGAGAGGGGGCAGAAAGTCTGAATGGCAGCCACAGAAAAACTAAGACGTAACTGTCCCATGGGCAATGGGCGCGGGAAGGACCTGGGCCACCCCATCTTCACAGCTCCCCCTAGAACCTTGGGCTTCTGCTGCACTTGGCTCCGGACGGCCTCATCCTCCATTTCGGCGGCCTCGTCTTCGTCAGACACATCGGTGGCCTCGGGTCCATTTTCTCCTCCAGCAGGCAGCAGCCCTCCATACTTCTTCCCCTTCAGCAGAATCTTGCCCTTCAGTTGCTGGGGACATACCACCAACTGGTTAAGACCCATCTAGGCCTCCCAGCCAGGTTGGCGTCCCTGCCTTCAGGGTGCCCGCTCTATACCTCTGGGGAAGGCAAGCTCGTGGTAGCCCCATCCAGTGGCTGGTCCAACAGCATGGGCCCCAGGATGGCCTTCAGGTGACGCGCCATGACTCGCTGTTGTTCCAGGCTGCAGTGGTTCTCCAGGGACAGGATGACTGGATAGGGGGACGCCTAGAAGCCCCAAGGTGAGTTAGGAGGGGACTGCCCATCCCTGGTACCCTCTCTTCACTCCCATGGGCACACCCAACCTTGAAGGCGTAGTCCCGGATGGCCCTGAGCACATCGCAGAAAAGAATCTTAGACGTAAAAGTGTAGCCGTGGTAGATGATGGGTTCCTGATTGGGGCCATCCCAGCAGTCGAGTTCTAAGCAGCGGCAACCTTTGCACAGAGCCCTGCAGGGAGTGGGGACAGCTAGGCTAGGACCTTCCAGGTCTCGTCCCTGGTCCCACCCTGACTCACCGGGACAGTTCCTCCACCCCACCCCGCCCCACCCCCCGAGCGCACCGGATGTAGGCCTCCGTGCTGCTGGGCCCTCTGAGCTGGTCTTCCAGCAGGTAGGTGTTATGTGAGGAAGACACTAAGTAGTGGCTGAGTGGCTGGTCCATATCCTGGTAGACACGGCGGTGAGCCAGGCTGAAGGCGCTGCCATCGGCTGATAGCAAGTACATGAGGAAGCCATCCTTGGTCATCTGCCGCTGAGCCTTGGCTAGGTAGGAAGAAGCCACCATTTCCAGTCAGAGCTTGTTGCCTAACCACCGTGCAAAGACAAGCCTTTCAACACTCTGCCTGCCCCCTCCCGCCTTCAGCTAGCGCTCTGCGGCTCCCGGGAGCAGACGTCCTGGGCTCCCAGTGACAGTGTGGTGAGACCCTGTCTGTCTCTTTTCCTTCCTCCAGTTCTAAAAGCCTCCAAGCTGGGTGATGTCGCCTCAGAGTTGACTGCAGGCGCTGGCCCAACAATACTCTAGCCCTGTGCTGTATCCCTAGTCCTCTTTAACTCTGTGCTCTGAGCCTGGGTCTCACTAAGCTGACAGGCCGGCTAGCCTGGAAGTGGTGAGCCATGCCGGGTCTTCTCTAGGTCATGTCTCAAGGCTGCATCCAGAATAGACACAAAGAAGGAAGTAACACTGACCTTGGCTTCATCAGCCATTTCTTTCTACGTCTTGGGATAGGGACACCCAGTACCCCTTGGAGAAGAAGGGAACTGAAGCCCAGACAGGGCAAACACCGGAGCGCGCACGCGCGCCCTCGCTCTCTCTCTCCTATGCACCTGCTTACACAGCATAGCCACACAGCGATCTGCAACCCTAGGGCTGGCTACCTGCAGTTTCATCGGAATCTCCCAGCCATGAGGCTCTGGGAGGCTGGGCCCTCACCGGTCTCACTGGGCTCATAGCGCTCGATGAGGGATAGGGCCAGTGCTGGCCCTGCCGCCTCCTCCTGCTGCTGATGCTGCAGGAAAGTGACTAGCTTCTCCACCGACAGGGTCTCCGCGGATCCTGCAGCCTCTGCAAAGACACGGTCGATCTCCTCCCGCTGGGTCAGCATCTTGTAGAAGGCCTCAATCTCCTCGTCCTCCAGCGAGTCAGTCTGGGAGTGGTCACATTCCTGCAAAGCCAGCACAGCCCATGGGCTCAGGCCCGGCTCCAGGCCTGGAGCGAGGCCCCACAGCCACTGGGAGGCAGCTCACCCTGAAGATCTTCCTGGCATAGCTGTCGTCCACCTGTATGTTCAGTTCCTTCAGGAAGTCCTGCAGCTCCTTGAAGTTCATCTTGTTGTCCTTGTTTTTGTCGGCCTTCCGCAAGCAGGAGTGAATCCAGCTGAGCAAGCA